GGCCATCTGGATATATATAATGAGATGGATGCATTTTGTGATTCTCACATCTGTCTGCATATCTGCTCCTCGTTTCTTTGTCCTCAGTCTCTGTTTGTTCCTGTCCTCAGCCCTGACTGTGGGTAAGTCTCTGACTGATGACTCTGAGCCAGGCCAGCTATCTGATGCCTGGACTGGGAATGATGAGGTGCTGCTCACCTCATACATTTCCTCTCTGTCTTCTGAAGATGCCTGCCAAACGTCATGTTACTGAAGCTTACAATTCCCAAAATACTACTCTATATAATCTTAGCATTTATAATTAAAGAAAAATCTATTAAAGAGGCATGAAAGGCGTTCAATGATGCAATGATGTCTTCTACTTCAAAAATGCCAAGAGTGACATTGCCTTCGATAATCATAGGCAAGCTCACCTCTCTCTTCTTTTTTGTTCTTTCCATAACCAGCTGCCCTGCCTTCTCCTGTGGCTCCTCCTCAGGCTGAAAACTCTGTGAGCAGAAAGCAGTCTAAGAACTGCACTAAATCTGCTGTTTATACTGCTGCTGTGCGACATGTGTATGGTTGATGTCAAGTACACACTCACATCTGTGTGTGTCTCTCTGCCATCTTTCTCTGGTGATTTTATGAGCAGGTCGTAGAGGTGTTTCTGTTCAGTATCTTGAAGAGCTGAGCAGAAACTGCTGAAGGCTCTGGGTCCACGTTTTGGTAAGAGTAGAAGCAAACGCCAGCTGCGTTTCTGAGACGTTTGCTCTGCCTGGAGTAGAAGAGATCACATCGGAAACATAAAATTTACTAACAACGAATTAATTAAAAAATACATTTGGTTTTACTTTTTTTTCACCTTCTCAACATTATAACATTTGATTGTGAATTCATCCAGACACCTTAAACTTTAGATGTTTAAAGGTGGTCCTCAGACAGGACAGTCGGAAGTAAAGATTTCAACCTTGAGGGATTAAATCAAAACTTTCACAAATGCCTTTTCCACCAAATATAAGCCTGTTCTATGGTGATGCCTTTTGAGAAACAGCCGACAATTTGAAAGGTTACTATGCTGCAATTATTAGAAGTTGCAGTAAAATCATGGCAGACACAAACTATTTATTACGGCATCTCCTCTGACATTAGCCTGGCAATTTGTGGTGCTGTGCCAGTGCCAGCTTTCTGGCATTAGTTCTAGATTGATAACCAGCATTGTGTCGGTGGAAAAGGGATATTAATGTCTCTGAAGGACGTTGCCCTGTGGTTCCCAGCTGGTTTTCTCTGGTAAACCTCTAAAATAGTAAGATCCCTAAGTCTTTGGATAGTGAGACACTAGACTCTCCAGTCTAGACTTTCAGTTTAAATGCATAAGGTTTAGCAAAAGTATTTTGTTAATAATTTAGGAAAGCAGACATTTCTTGCATTGTTACACATCTTTCACATGCTTGAAGTATTTAGAACAGGTGTGACATGTTCCCTAATTATTTCAATTACCAAATCAAAATAATAAAAAGCATGTAGAGATTTTAAGTGCTGACTTTGCAGTTAGTCTATATATGCATCCAATGATAAATAAATATGAAGGGTTTTATTAGGCTGTAAAAACATTACATAGCTATTAAAAAAGCTTGCAGAATGACAGAATTAAAATGTGTTCAATTTTCATAATTATATTTTCCATTTCTGTGAGTCCGCTCAGGTCTGAGTGAAGTAAATTTTGTCATCAGATGGGGAGCGTGAGTGGCCACGTGGACAGCCACGTGCCCGCCTGCATTTTGTGACTATGCAGAATCATCTGAGGAGAATTTACATTACAGTGAACCAACTATGTAAATACCTGAGGTGACGGACTTTAAAGAAGAATAAGAGTATACAGTTAGATTATACTTAACTAGAAAACCCAAAACTTCTCTGGGACAGATAAACCTAATTAAAGTGTACCTAAATCACAGCACAGAAGATAAAGGCCTCATTCAAAGCACAACTACTCATCACTGAATAGGCAGTGTTGATAATTTGCTGTGATAATAGATGTAGAAGGATCCATCAATCACATCAGGACTGCTTTATTTCTAATCAAAAGCGTTAGTATGCTGAAAGAAAAATATTATACTATACTATAAACTATATCACTGTCGAACTTTATGGATTTGACTGTGAGAGATCTTTTTAATTGTAGAATTAATCATCTACTTTATTAACTACCTATCTAACTCATGTTTTCTCTGCCACTGGAGCCTATACTAGCTGCCAGAGTGCAGAAATGGTGGTAGTTCCTGTAAAACTGCAGGAAACATTTCTGTAGTCACCTTTTACTTAACAGCTATTTCCTGGGAGGATTAGAGGTTCTGACTCCCACATACATTTAAACCACAAGCTAAAAACTGACCATAACCTTCAGCAAAGTTGCTGACAGCCAACTAAAATTCAGTTAACTTAAATTTAAGCAAACTGGAGGTAACTCAAACTCACATAACTGTTAAGAATCAGCTGCCTCACTGTTAATATAGTAGTTATTATCCACATACCATAATGCTCTCTGCCATGCTCTCCGTGAGGATGTCGTCTGCCTGCAGTGACTGAATGAGCAGCTCATCCACCACCAGCTGTCTGCACAGGATAGCTGAGTTTCTTCGGAGAGCCTGCCTGTCCCGCTCCATCATGCCACACTCCAACATTTTTCCCCTCAAAAACTGTATCCAGAGCAGGTAACAAGATACACGAACATTGGGAACAATACAAGCATATGGACGTTTTTGTCCAACACTGGGAACAGTCACTTTATTAGCTTGGCTCCTCAGTTACACCCTTATAACAAAATACAACACAAGCGATAACGTTACCATGAGGCACTCTTTGAGCCAGCAATAAACCAGTAACAACAGAAGCTGAACAATACAATGGTAAACTCAGTAAAGTATCTACCAAATAATAAGATAAAGAGGAAAAATAATGGAAGTATAATATTAGCAATGTAAGTTTACTATGCTGAGTTACAATAAGAGAAGTTACGCTAATCTAAATGGTGTTGGCTGATGGTGATAAACGCTAGCTAACTAGCTAGCTAACTTCGACTTTCTCTGCACTGAAGTGGGTTTAATATGACTCCCCGCATCCCCACTACTTACCTCTCTTCTGTTCCTGCAACAGACTATCAACACACCCTAAAAATGAGCAAAATGTCTCCGTAAGTCCCTTTACTAAACGCAAACTAACAACATCACGTCTACACGCCACAGACGAACTTCCGCGGGGTAAACAGACCATCAGACTCTTCGACTTGGATTCTGACCAATGAGAGCGGTGTACAGTTTGAGTGGCGTTTCAGTGAACCAATCGTTTCTTCTTTTCTTCTTAATGGCATCTTAACCGTACAGTAAACTGCTGTGTGAACAACAGAAATAAGGGTATTTTGAATTTGAATCTCATTTCAGTTAATAAGTAACCAATTGATAAGAAGGCAGGCACAAAGGCCTCTCGAATAGAGAGCTATTTAAAAAGGAGGAGTGTAAAGACACTTAAAGGTCACATATTTGCAGCAGGATTGCTGCACACTCTCTATATGCTCATTTAAAGCTGAGGAGCACGAGCCAAAGAATTTCATTATGGATAAATGTGGCTACACTGTTTATCTGTACATGACAATAAAACTTGAAACTTGGGTTTAAAATTTGAGTTTGTAAATGAGCAATGGCAGGATAAGTTGTAATGTAAGGTCCTGCCTCCAGTTACAATCTGATATTCAAAACAACCTGATGTCAGTTTTTCAGTATAAAGGGGAAAAACAAGCTCCATTGATATTTAACAAATGTTAAAATACCAAATAATAAGAACTAAGAAATAATGAATTTATCCCAGATTTGGGAAATTATTTTGTTATAACAGTTCTGTTATTACAGTTCTGTACTTTTTCAAACAAACAAACAAAAATACAAAACTTGCTTCTAGCCACAACAAGAGGAACAGGAAATTTTGAAATATGATAAGGAAATTGAGACACACGTTTGCAGTGAGGGGGAACAAAATAAGTGTGGGACACACTAATGATAAAAGGTAGAGTGGACTTTAATCATACAGGGTGACAAAATGTGGTATGAAATTATCAGTCCGTAAGAGGAGGTGATTTGCTGCCTGTCCAGGAAGTGGTGCAGAAGGTGGTCATGATTGATAACAGTTTCCTCAGTGACTTCCACCACAGCTTCAGAAGTGTCCAGTTCAGTAGAGGTGCATCTTTTTCTGTCAGTCATATCCCTTATACTTGAGTACTCTATGCTTCTCACTCAACCATGATTACTTGATAGCTAAACCTATCTGTTTAGCTGTTTAAATATATAAAATTGACATTTTAAACAGAGCATTCTTGTATACATTGCAAAGTTTGTGTGTGAAAGGAAGCCACCTGTTTTCCTTTTTAAATTATTCTTTAATGTTTGCCATTGCAGTTCCCTCAAAGAGATATTTCACTTAAATGTAATAGCTTTATTTGAGCTGGTGATTGAAATTTAGAAAGTTAGTCCACCTGCTCATGAAAAAGCAACACTCAGAATAAAGTTTACAATTTTGAATCCAAATTGTTGTACCAGAGGTTCCTTTTCTTCTTTCCCAGTTCAGTAATAATCTTACAAGCTCCAACGTTGAGAACCATGAACTAAAATAACTGTAAATACGAAAATAATTAGTGCAATAAAACCATACTAAATAAATCATTTTAATGAATAAAATATGACAAATCACATAAAACTAATGGAGGAACATTTCTGGTACAATTTATTCTTACTGGGCGTATTTTACAATAAGGCATCACACACAGTTACACACACATTATGACAAACACAGAGACAGACAGCAACCATTAATGCATTAGAACCAACAGGTGAGTGCTTTGCATTGCATGTATTCCTGCCTTTCTGTTTTTCTCGCTTTCTTACTTCCTTTTCCATCCCTCTCTCTCTCTGTCACTCCCTCCTTCACCCTCCCCTGCTGTCTATCTCCTCACCCTCACTGTGTGACCTGTCAATAATTGATGATTCTCACTGACTCAAAGGGTAGCAGGTCCGGGAGAAAATGTCTCACTCATTTCTTTATTTATTTACACGCCTATCTTTAAGCTCAGCCGGTCTGTGAAACTACCACAAGCGTCACTCGGGATCGATAGCGCGAAGCAGCGTGGAGCACCTGACCGTGTCCATCTTACAGTTAGCGGCGGCGGCTGCACCTGTGACCACGAGTGGGTTAATGCTGCCTGTCTGGCTGACAGCAGGACAGAGGCAGGAAAGGGAAGCTTAAATGAGTGAATGGCAGGGGGCAGAGGAGGAGGAAGAGGAGTGACAGAATGATAAAGTGAATTAATTCAACCTTAGCCAGCCCTGATTGACTCAGCACCAAACTGGCATGTACAAACATTCACAGTGACACCAAAGGCATGGAGAGAGAAAAGAGGAATGATATGTCCTACTCTAGAAAGAGAAGTTTCACTTTTGGGGCATATGGCAGGTAAGTAAAGACACTGTTAGTCTTAAATTAGGACTGGCATTGTCCTTGGAGCAGCGGCACAACCTGAACAAACGGCACTTTTTTTTAGATTTAAGTCATCTTGTCTGTTTATGCAGAAGTTTCTGAAAAGCTCTTACTTCCTTGTTTACAGTGTGGATAGATTCACATGTGGGGATGAGACGGGGTAAGGCTTTATTTTCCTCTCTACTGCAGCTTTTTTGAGTTAACATGTTAACCTTTCCTGTATAATGTAAGGAGTTACTAACTGTGCTGTCTTGCTGTGTAAACCAACCTGTTGCTGCAGACCTGAATTCGTGCAGGACAAAAGTCTGGACACTTTGGATTCTCCTACCAGTGAGCGCAAGCCTTTCCGTTCTTCCAGCAGCAACCAGAAGGTGACATCCTTATCATTTTTAGTGTGCACTTTCTCGCTTTAATTTTAATTCACTCTAAGGGATGAATATCCATGTTCTACATTTCTAGAAGTCCGTTTAGAGAAAGACTGAAATATGAGTCATGTTCCTCTTCCTCACCCGTGCTTCTGCTTTCCTTTCTCTCAACTTGAATTTCACTTTTTTTTATATATATTAGGAATCAGAGCTGTTTGAAATCATTGAGAAGCTGCAGGTGAGTTACAGTGTCCATCATTTTGTGCAGTGTGTGCATCCATCAATGCCTGAGCAGCAGATGTTTGTAATCACTAAAGCTCTTGTCCATCAGGGCAGCAGGATCGATGAGCAACGATGTGAATTCCCCCTTCCTCTCAAGGTTTCTCTACTTGATAGTAATAATAAAAAAGTGACACAGGCTCTGTACTGATGATAACAGGTGTTTCACCAAACAAACATCAGCCCAATCAGATTCTTTTTTATATCTATCAGTCTCCACTTTCTACAACTGGGAGAGAGCTGCCGCTTATCCTTCCTTCGAAACTGGGAGGCTATTGGATAGACCCCCCTCTGGACAGACTGGTAGATGTGAGTCCCACCTCTTCCCATTATGCCGTTGACCCAGAGAGCTATGACATCATGGAGAGAGACGGTGAGGCCAAAATCTATCACGAGTTCTTCCGCTCACGAGTAAGTAGACTTTAACTGTAAAATCTATAGGAATATTCTTTCTGCATTGATATTAATGTTTTAACCCTTTTGCCACGCAGTACCATCACTCTTTCACAGCAGTGGATCCAACTTTGGGCTCACTGGTTCTCTCTGTGTGTTTGGAGGAAGAGGAGAATAAGCTCAGGGTGATTCTAAGGTGGAGATCTTTGGCTATTTTGGCTTACTGTGAGACATTTTTTATTCTAAGCTACAATGCAGCCAAAAATGTTTAACAGAAAATTGTGCTTCTCCTTAAATGCCCCCTCAGCTCCAAAATGTCTTTCTCCTAGGGTTATTGTGTAAACTTTCAGATTCATATGCTGAAAGAAGAATGTTTATCTGACTTAAATCTGATGTGAAGGTGTCATGGGACAAGCAGAATTTCATTTTAGAAGTCAATCCTGGTTTAATATGCAACTTTTACAAGCATAACAAGGTCATTTAAAACTTCCCGTGTGCATGCTGTGCATCACAAAAGATCTTAAAGTATCTCTGAAAGGAATCTTTAAGGTTTCTTTGCTATAGTTTATATGTTTAATGTAGAGCGTGGTTGATCAATTATTACAAGAAACTGCATCACAGAAAAGGAGGCATAATGATTGTGCTTTATGTCTCACAGGATGAAGGAGTGTTCTCTGCATGGAGTCTTCTCTGTGTCTCTTTTCCCCACCCTGCCATCTGCAGTTGAATTAGCAAAGGTATCAAACTTCTTACTGTATCATACCTATATTTCTATTTGGCAAAAATAGTAACCACAAATGAAAAACTATTATTTCAAGTAAAAGCATTAATTGTGCACATTCTGTGTATTTAAAGTAATTAAAAGCTTACATATGTGTTTTATTATTTTTATGGATACACTGACATCATAATAGCTAAACGATGAGCAGCTAAGGCTAACTACTTTATAGACTGTTTATTGCCTTACATTCTACACTGAAAAATAAAGTTTTTACTGGACTCTATGTTGTTCTGTGAAAAATTAAACACACCCTTAATGCTTCCATAGGAATTAAGACAGTAAGATGCTAAAACAATCATCCGCAAGTCTGACTTCCTCCATAAAACCATAACTTCTGGCAGTTTTTAGGTGTGTGTGTTAACACAATGACACACTGTTCCAGTAATGGACATGCCAGCAAATTCACCCCAAGGTCAGATTGTGCAATGCTCGTAGAAAAAAAACCCCAAGAGTTATATCTCAAACTCTGCAGCCCTCAGCTAGCACATCAACTGTTAAAGTTCATGACAGCACAATTAGATAATGACTGAACAAGTATGGTTCATTTGAAGCATTGCCAGGAGAAAGCCTCTTCTCTCTAAAATGAACATGACAGCATGACTTAGGTTTGCAAAGCTACGGCTGTGTAAATCACAAGATTTGTGGAACAATATCTTCTGGACCGATGAGACTAAAATGAAGGTATTTGATCACAGTGCACAGTCCAGTGTTTGGCAAAATCCAAACACAGCATATTACCTAAAACACCTCATGCACACTGTTAAGCACAGTGGCGGTGGGGCAATAGTTTTGCTTGTTTTGCAGCTTCATGCAGTGATTAAGTTGACAATGAACCCCTCTGTATGTAAAGGAGAATCAAACAGGCGGCCATCTGTCTGGTTGGCCAGTTAAAGCTACTGCAGGGCCATGCAACAAGACAATCATTTCAAACTCAGCAGCAAACCTGCGACATAAAAAAAAGAATAAAGGTGTTTCAGTGGCCCAGTCCAAAGTCTAGATTTCAAACTATGGAATGCTGTGGTGGGAGTTAAAGAGAGCTGTGCATAAAGGAATGTCTCCAAGCATCCAAGAACTGAAGCAATGAAGTGAGAGTCTGATAAAGTCATACAGAAACTTCAAATCACATCAAGTTGCTGCTGCTAGTGTGGTTCTACGAGCTACTGAGCAGACAGCACTTTTTGCAGTACTGCAGATGGTGACTGTAGCACTTTTTAATCTTGCAGTTTTTCTAAAAGAGTAATATATATGTAAAAAAAATGCAGCAGAGTAAAAAGTATTGTTTCACTCTGAGAGGCAGTAGAAAACGGAGAAATAAACCAAAAGAAATGCTCAAGATACCCCAAAATCAAACCTCAGTACATGAATAAATGTTCTCACTTTCAAGCACTGAATACGTGACAAGCACTTATAATTATTCCTCACATTCTTTCTAGATGCTTTGTGACCGAGTGACTGCCTCAAAGTTTGACGTGGTCTGCTACCTGAAGGTAATATGCTCTGAAATGACTTGAAAAATTGACACATATTTCACATACGTCACAGGAGGAATGCCACAGGTGTCACCAAAAACAATAAGAATGGCTCAGTTAAACACAAACGGGTGTCCCAAACAGTGTGACAGTGAGCAGAAAGGTAATACAAAGAACCTGATGTGGTTTTTCTCCCTGTGCCTTTCCTACTGTGACATGTCGGCATGTTTTCTGTGAAGCTCTTCGCTCTTCAACTCTCTCTTCTTCCTCTCTCAGGCTCCAGAACTTATAACCACATTTGATGAACACAGAGTTTCTCCTAATTTCAAGTTTGGTGTTTTGTGCCAAAAGGACAGGCAGGTAAGAACTGATGCTTTACTTCAAAATGCCATGCATTTTTATAAAAAATGGCTAAAATATGGCAGCATATCATAACCAATCCCTCTCAGAGAAATCCATTTCTCTGTAGCTCACTGAGGAAGACATACTGGGTAACAATGAGGAAAGTGAGGAGTTTAAAGAGTTCCTGTCTATTCTGGGAGAGACGGTTCAGCTGCAAGGATTCACGGGGTAATGTATGCTGACAATGTGAAGAAGTGACACAAGAAATGTGGAAAATCACATGGTTTCTTCTCTCCTCGCTCTTTTTCTCAGCTTTAGAGGAGGACTGGATGTGTGTCATGGTCAGACAGGAAGTGAAGCAGTCTACACTTCCTTTCGTGGGAGAGAAATCATGTTTCATGTCGCAACTAAACTGCCTTACACAGAGGGTGACCCACAGCAGGTCATTAATCACATCATCCTCAGTCTGTTTGTGCTGATGATTCACAGGAGAGTCTCTCTGAGGATATTATGTGTAGTTAAGTTTATGTGGGGAGGGACGAATCAACTTATTTTTAGACACTAACCAACATTTTTCTCATCACCCTGCACAGCTACAAAGAAAAAGGCACATCGGTAATGACATCGTAGCTTTGGTCTGCCAGGAGGGCCAAACCCCCTTTCTGTCTGATGTTATCAAGTCTCACTTCCTTCACTGTTTTATTGTCGTCCGGAGGATTCAGAGGCAAGAGGAAACAGGTGGAGCAGCATATCAAGTAAGTGGGCAAAATGCATCCCCATCAATGCAAATTGAATAAATTCACCATATTTGTAAAGGAATATAGCAGCTGGGTGGCCCGGTGATGTAGTGGTTGTGTGGTAGTGCTGGTGTCTTACAGCATTAACACTGACATTTTTGCAAAGCCCTTGTTGTTACTTATATGCTGCCATATAGATACAAATATCCATTCATCCATCCATTTTGTCCCACTCATCTGGGCTGTGTTGTTGGAGCTGCACCCTAACCAGAGAATTCCAGACCTCCCTCTCATCCAGAGGTACACTGAAGGGAGGTATCCAAATTAGATGCCTGGACCACCTCAGTGCTTTCAATCCGTCCTGAATGACTGAACGACTGGGCTATATTTGTTAGGAGCTTTTGACCCTGACTGGGTCTTTCTAGGGAAATTTCTTCTTGTTGGGGAACCAGACAAAGAGCATTTCAAACAACGCCGATGAAGAAAAAATCATCAGGTACCAGAATACTACGTACCTTGGGAGGAAGCTCAAAGGAGCTAGCCTGATGACCAGGCGTTATCCCACGGGGCCCACTCCGACACTCAGACACAGCCTGAACAGGCAACACGGGCTGGCTGACCACCTGCAGGAGGCACTGTAGAGTACAGGTTTAATGACTGCTGGGTGGCAGTCAGGGGCGAATGCCCTGGCAGTTTGAAAACCAGCTGATGAGACTAGCTGTTGATTCAAATATATCTGTGATAAACTGACATCATGCAACAATCTCTGCTAATCTCTGCCATTTTTATCTTCTGCAGGTGTCTGTCACGGCAAGAGAAGATGTTCCTCCCTTTGGTCCAGTGCTTCCAGATCCCCCTGTCTTTACAGATGTAAGAAAAAACAGAGTTTCATCTGTCTCAGTATACTTTGCTTATGTGTTTATTTATTCTTTAATGTAACAGCTGTAGCCAATTCATATATTTTTTAGGTATATTGTACTTTATTTGCTTTGTCAGTAATATTCATTTGATGTCCACTGTGATTTTCTCCCAGAAATGTCAGTGGACGTCAAATGTTTAATAGCTTTTGTAGCCCTACAGAGATGGTGTGGTTGCTTCATCTCTGGATGGCAGAGCTTGCTACAGAAATGAAATCTTCCTAATTTTTTTCCTACTTGCTTGGTACTGAGGGGCCCATTGCATGCTATGAAAAGATTTACATAATAATTTGAGGTCTCACAAGATATTTAGAAATAGGAGTCATGCTACGTAAGTTGAGAGTAAGTGGCCAAAAGATCTACAACAATTTGTGACGCATGAAAAAGTTAAGAAGAGTTCATCCTTGTGTCAACAATTCAGGCTGATTGAGCTGATAGGAAGGCAGCAGTAACTCAAATAACCACTAGTTCAAAACATGGAGGTCCAACCTGGCAGTGGCAAAGTGGCCCTAAAGTGTATACTTGCTGTCCAGACTAGGGCTCTAGTGGACAAACCTTCTTCAGTGGAGACATGTCAGTTCGACTCGTCACAGTGAGCACAGGTGTAAATAGTAATATGATGGCTGAAAGTGGTTTCAGAATTCTGGTATTTTGTGGTTCATTGCCACACTGTCATGGCTTATTGAGACACTAAAACAGAGCTTGTGTTACTAGTAACTCCTGCACCTTCCTTACAGGTCTAAATATGTGCTCTAAAAAGACACAGCTTAACATGTCAGTCTAACCTTTGTCTTGCCTTGCTTTGCTCCTTTGGACGTCATTGACCATTCAGACTGCTTGAATGCGAACACACCTTGATTTAATTAGTGAAAGGTTGCTTCTGCTCCACCTGCTCTCTGTGTCAGTCCTTTATTTAAGGGAGCTCAGTATTTACCAGTATAATCAGTGTGTGAAATATCTCACAAGGTTTGTCTTCCTTTGTCCTTCCTTTAGCATTCAAAGTTCAGAGAGTTTCTGCTGGCTAAACTCATTAACGCTGAGATATCCTGCTATAAGGCTGAGCAGTTCAGCAGACTGGAGGTAGATGGAGGAACACTTTTCCCTAATGCGCTTCATTATTGAATATCTGTGTTTTTTATTCTTCTGACTTTGACCTCTGCCCTTTGCATTTTCCCCTCCTTCACTCATACAAAGCTCCGCACTCGTTCGTCACTCCTGGAGAACTTGCAGGCTGAACTCTTCACCCGTTCCCAGTGCATGATGGGGGATCAATCACTGATTGCTGTCCCCACTTCAGAGGGCCTGCGGGGGCCATCTGAAGGAAGTGGGGGATTTATTGAAAACTTTAAGGTGAATGTTTGTATTTCTCTGAAATACTTGCATGTTTGAATTTACAATTTTAACTAAGTGTTCTTACCTCTGTCTCCTGTACCAGAGAGCCATCAGAGTGCGGAGCCATTCTTTTGAGAATCTGGGGGTCCCCAGGAAGAATGCTAGCAGCACATCGCAGAAGGCTAAGGTAAAAAAAAAAAAAAGAAAGAAAAAGCTTGCTGTGCAATGGAAACTGTTTGAATAAAGTCATAAGATTATTCATACTAAATGCACTGATGTTCTCCTCTACCTTCCTTGACAGACAGAGAAAGATGGAGATAGGTGAGACTCATAAAAATATTCTAAAAAATTCAAATGTTCAGTTGTGTATGAGCTGAGGAAGTAAAACAAATCACTTTTTGTTCTTTTTAGTGACAAATCTTCAGGACCTCTGCCTGCTCCCACTGACAGTTTGGGGGCAGCTGAACTCAAAGATCAAACAAGTCCTCAAGAGGAGATATAAAAGCAAAAACGTACTTGTAGATTTTAGACATGAATATAGACATTGCTGGCCTGTATGGTTAGACTTTAAAATCCTGGTGGATGACCTGTATGTAAATAGACTGTAAAAGTAAATAGTTCTGAATGCATAAAATATAATTATATGACTGTTATAGGAGTGATATTCTAGATTCATGAGAATCGTTAAATTTAAATGTTTTGACTTAAAACAGATGACAAGAGTTTAAATGATAAGACAATATCAGGTTTATGCCAGAGACTGAATTTGCAGGAAGGCAACACGATATAATGAATTAAATTAAAACTGAACATAAAATGTAGAAAATAAATGGTTTGTTTTAAAGACCAATAAAATGTAATTTGAAAAATCAGTTACTATTGTCAGGTGTTGGCTGTGTGCAGGTCTGGAGGACCCACAGTGCAGACTCCGGAGACAAAACGTGAACTCAAAAACAGCTTTATTGCTCAACAGCAAAACCATACAAAACCTAAACTGGGAAAAATCCTTGGTTATTTTTGATGTCTTAAATATACAAATCAACCAACATAAAGCACAAATACAGCATCTGGATAGAACCAACCTTTTAAATATTGTAAAAAATTGATAAATTGATAAACTGATAAATTGACCGCTCACACCAAATCGTCACTTGAGTGTGGTGGTTGTGGATAAAAGCAACACATGCACACAAAAAAAAAAACTGTTTCTAAACTGATTTTAACAAAGTGTGGCAAGAACACTGGAATAACAATGAAATGAAGCAACAAAATAAAGGGACGTGCTGTTCTGTCCTGGAGTGATGATGCAGGTAAGGAGGCAGAAGGAGGTGAACTGTTACTGCATAATATATAAGATTGTTTGATTCGAATAAGATATGCAAGAGTCCGTCAAATAAAACTGCACTAAATAGGTCATCACTTAGTGTATGCACGCGCTGTACTCAGCCAGAAAGAAGAATATGTGATGAGAAGCAAGATTAGCAGTACAGGAAGTATTCAGATCTCTTACATATGCAGAAAATACTCATTTTTATGCATAAGTTAAAAAAATAAGTATTTCAGCTATAGTGCACTATATGGCATAACTATTACATGCTTATGCTTTAATTCAGTGATGTCAAACTCATTTTATATTCTGGGCCACATACAGCCCACTTTGATCTTGAGTGAGCTGGACCTGTGAAATTCCCCTTGCTGTCAGTGTAAAGAAGTTTAACTATATATTCAATCCATTATAAATCAGCATATAAGTAAAAAGTGCGTTTTCAACACTAAACCTCACTTCTTCTAAATAGTAAAGAAATGCTGCTGCAGTAAATGAACTGTCATCGTGACTTTTCTGGCTTAAACTGCCAGTCTGTAAAGTTCTGTAATTAGATGTTTTTTTTAATTATAAAAGACAAAGTTTATTCATAGCAAAAAAAAACAAAAAAAAAACGGACATTTTTTTAGTAGATAGATAGTGGAAAACTGGCACTTTTCTGTCATTTATTAAATATCTATTACTTTATTCCTTTGTTGTCGCATGAATAGCTATGGAAGAGGTGTTTATCAGTAGGAAAAGGTGTAAAACTTGTGAAAATACAATAAAAAGTCAAAAATGTATGTCCTTCTTCAGATTTTCTAAAGCAGTAGAATGGGCCGGTTTGGAGTATTTGCCAGGCCCCCGAGCCTTATGTTTCACACCCGTGCTTTGGCGCGTAAGTTTGTAATCGTCATGGTTGTCTTTAGGGTTATCAGAGAGTGAACTACTGCTCGAAGTCGGTAGGTGGCAGTAATGCACATGTAGGCTGTCTTGCCTGCTGGCATTCAAGAAGAAGAAGAAGCCCGTGCGGAAGGCTTTTGGCTGTTCTGTACCACCTGATTTGTAGCTTTTAGAGCACGTAGGCGAAATCATTTTGGTCCCCCTTGTGGTCAGACACTGCTACTGAGCTTTTTCGTTATTTATCTAGCTCAGGCTAACTCCTCCTATCGCTTTTTAACTCCGTCTTTAACACCATTTAATATAGCATCGGTTGTAGCTAACTGTTAAAAACAACGAGTGGTTTCTGCTCGCGGTCTTTGCTGCGATTAGTTTTATTTCTGCTAAGCCCGAGCAGCTCTGCTTCAGGTTAGTTGAACTTTGACACAGTGAACATTGCTCAGAGGCTGCCCCCAAAAACTAAACACTCCTTGTGAATTATTCGCACGCTGCCGTTAAGGTTTTTGTTGCTCTTCATTTAAAGCTCTTGCTAACAACTCAAAGAGCGGCTGCTGACCCCAGGATGACCTCCAGAAAAGTTGTGGAGTTGTTCTACGATGTAGTTTCTCCGTATTCATGGCTTGGTTTCGAGGTTTGTGCCGTCTTGATGTGCACCACAGCATCAGATGGGTTTGTTTAGGAGATGCGCAAATATCTCATGTGTTTGCAGGTCATGTGCCGCTACAGAAACGTTTGGAACATCGACCTCAAACTGCGCCCTGCGTTTCTGGGTGGCATCATGCACGGAGCGGGTCAGTAAAGATCAGTCAGGCACCTGTAAACCTGCTGCAGGACACGCTGCACGGTCAAATCCGGGTGCGCACTGACTCTGTTTGCTCTCACATTTCTCTTTCTTGACAGGCAACAAGCCTCCTGGTTTGGTTCCTAACAAGTTCGCGTACATGACAAAAGATCTCAACCGCTTGGCAGAATACTTCAGTGTCCCCTTGCAGTCGCCTGCTGACCCCTTTGAGGTCATGTTCCAGAAAGGTACAAGCAGAATCAGCTCTATAATGTCTATTGATGGTACTATTAGACCCCAAGCTATTTGACCCTATTAGACCTTATTTGACCCCTAAAGACATTTTAACTGAAGCAATGACGCTTGATTTTGACAGAAGTTCCACATTTAAAGAAAAACATAAGTGTCTACTACTTTTTGTTGTTTTTTTAAGGGGGGGAAACATGCAACTAAAACAGATTATCTTCAGATATGGGAAACTGAACTCTACTATTCTTAACTCCCAAAAGTTTGGGTAAGTGATAATGTCGTAGTCATGACTTGTGACATGGTGTTAAAGCAACACAAAGCAAATTTAATTTAATACTTTAAAACACTTGGCTGTGGCAAAACAAGCTGTAAGCACAACACAATATACACTTGACACTTTATTAGGTACATCTCACCAGTACCAGATAGGACCCGCGTTTGCTTTGAGAACTGCCTTAATTCATAAGAATTCCTCAAAGATTTTGGTCCATGTTGATCACACAGCTGCTGCACATCCATGACGTGAGTCTCCAGTTACGCAACATCTTAAAGGTGCTCTATTGGATGACGTCTGATGACATTTCAAGAAACCAGACAAAACCAGCTCTGGTAACAAGAAGATATTTCCCCCCAGAGAACTACCGCTGTCATATTTCCTTTTTTTTTTTTAAGACCATTCTCTGTAAATCCCAGAAGATCAGCAGTTTGTGAAATACTCAGACCAGTCTGGGACCAAAAACCATGCCACATTTTAAGTCACTTAAATCACCTTACTTCCCTATTCAAATGCTCAGTGTGAACTTCAGCAAGTTGTCTTAATCATGTCCACGTGTCTAAATGCATTGAATTTCTGCCATGTGATTGGCTGAATCAATATTTGCAATGAATGTGTGTACCTAAGAAAGTTTACTTCCCTTTTTATAGAGAGCCAACAATTCCAGATACTGTTGTATGGTTCATAAGAAACCCTCCTTCAAAATTTTTAATGATTTTCACCAAAGATCGAATAAAGAACTGCAGATTAAGAGATTTACTGAAATATTAGGCTTGAGATGTGACATCTCATGATTTTGTCAATAGTGGTTCAGGTAACAGATGCATGTTAGTGCCCTTTTTTTTTTCCTTCTTCTTATAGGCAGCTTGGCTGCAATGCGATTTGTGGCAGCAGTGCAAGAAAAAGAAAAGGATGGAGAGAAGGTGGTGAATGTGTCCCGTGAGCTGTGGAGAAGAATCTGGAGTGAAGACAAAGACATCACTGAACCTGCGTCGCTGTCTGAGGTGCAGACTCTTTAACATCCTGGCTGCATTTAAAACAAAATTAAGAAGCACAATTTAATTTTGAGACTTTTTGTGTTTTTGCAGGCAGCAGTGAAAGCTGGATTGTCTGAAAGTGAGATAAAAGAACTGTTGGCCATGTCCACCTCAACGCAGGTCAAAGAGAAGCTTAAAAGCACAACACAGGCAGCTCTTGATTATGGGGTCAGTTGTCCTTCAGCTCCTCTTGTAGATCTAGCAAAGTGAAAAACAAACAAACCTTCAGCTATAACCCAAATCTCTCCTCCTAAATCCTTGTCAGGCTTTTGGTTTCCCCATGATTGTGTGTCATGTTGATGGAAAGCCAGAGATGTTCTTTGGATCTGACAGATTTGAGCTCATGGCCCACTGCATCGGTGAGAATACGATTCTACCATCTCTACAAATTTACTATCAAACTGGCTCAAGTAAATGGAATAAAATGACACCTTAACTTGTAGTCAGTGAAAGACTTTGCATACTTTTGGCTCTTTTAGTAATTCTTTGTAGCTGAATATTGAATCGATATTAAGGAATCAATTGTCACTTATTTTTTGAACTTGTTGCTCTCTAACACTTAAAGTTATTCTAGTTTTGTTTTTATTGTAAATCACCTATGATTTCAAAATTACAAAAACAAACAAAAAAGTGTTTGGCACTCTGGCAGTGGCACTACTTTTCCTTCTTATTGTTGGCAGTTTCTTATTCAGTCACATTTTGTTCTCTGTTTCAGGAGAGAAATGGCTGGGACCTCAACCCAGCAAATCAGCTGCCAAGCTGTAAAATGAAACCTGTTTTCATCTAAAGAAGATTTGCTCACAGTTTTGATTTGTCATTAAGTTCCATCTTTCATTTTTCTGGAATTAAAATCCCAGTTTTCCAAGTTGTGAAAGGCTCTGTCAGTGGCAGTAACAAGTTTCCAAACTGGTACTGTTGAAATATGCGTATGCATATGACTTTTTTTAAATGTTAGTCATAAAAAACCCTAATAACAACAACAACAACAATAACGAATGTGGGTGTAGATTTGGTCACATGATGTGTGTCTACCAGGATCAACCAGTGTTCACAGACCTCAGTGCTCATATTTTGACATATCATGTAATCTACTGCTAGTATTGTGATTAATGCATCATACAATTGTGCTGCTAATTATGTGCCTAATAAAAGCCTTTGAAATACAAGAAAAGTATTTTTGGCAGCTTGTACTAAACCTTAGTATTATTATTATTATCATTATTATTATTATTATTGTTACAGTAATATTCATGGTCCCAGCTGATACTTTTTTTTTCTCTGCCAGTGCTGACATTTGTGATTTTTAAATGTCTTCTAACTGCCAGCTGGTCAGTTGGCCCATTATTTCCATTCATGACTGAAATATTGACCCGTTTTCTTCCACTTCACCAATTCAGAGTTGCAGTGGGGCCGGTACACCCTGGACCAATATATCATCCTCAGGATGATATCTAATATATATATCATCCTGAGTGTTAATATATTGTTAAGTGCTAATTTGGTTAAACCAGGAGGAGTCATAGTTTATGAGGCCGTACATCTTAGTTTAATCTCAAGTGGGCTGAAGCAGTAAAACTATGGTAATGATAACCTAAAAAACATCCCTCTAAAATGTTCATAGTTAACATATTAAAAAAAAACAATAATAATGAGTCATTATTCATTAAATGTACATTACAATTTACATTTAAGAGTGAATCTTTCAAGGCACCAAAACCTTCATATGTAAAGTTTTTGTAACAGAGCAAAAGTGTTTTCTGCCTTTATGATCTCGTCTAAATATAAAAATACTTCTCATATATTTTCTTTCCTGTTTAGTAGTCCTGGCATCAAATTACAACACCATAAAAAGGCTTTTCATTTAAATTATTAACAACTAATGACTTTACAGTAATTTGAACTGGAATATCTGATGGGCCGTTTCTGGCCCTTGTGCCACAGGTTTGAAACACCTTTCCTGACGGAAAGTTCAGACGTTCTTAGAAAGACGAGATGAGATTTTTGTCACCTCGCTGAGAACTACTACGTCATTATTAATTAATCCATCGATCCCTTTGTAACCCATCATTCACAGCAAGCAGGTTTTGAATTTCAACCCTTTCACAGGTAGGCAAGCAGAGCCCTTCATATCCTCCCTCAGTTGAACTGCATTCAGGTATTAATGTTGGAGAGGATGTGGCTTTTTGTTTGTTTTAGATTTGTGTGAGATTAATGACCTGTTCTGGGCGTAAATATCCTCTCTTTTCCTGGTCTGGGTAAGAACGGGATGTGGAAATGGATAAATGCATTAAATGTTTGTTATGTCACAAATGTATGATGCCACAACATAAAGTGGAAAGAAAGACGCTACAGTATACTGAAATACTTTGTGCAAATAGCTGAAATCACTTCGACAGCACTGGCGCAGTGTCTACAGTGCCGTGCCCCTTTGATTGTATGCCTCGCCTCAAACGGCAGGGCAGCTCGGCTGTTAAACTCCTGAATAAAATCAAATGATTCATGCATAAAGTTCAGTTCAATTCATTTTTAATTATATAACACCAAATCACAATAACAGTCGCTTCAAAGTGCTTTATATCGTAAGGTAGAGACCCTATAATAACGCAGAGAAAACCCAACACAATTAAGCGACTCCCCTACAGATGAGCACTTGGCAACAGTTGGAAGGAAAAACTCCCCTTTAACAGGAAGAAACCTCCAGCAGAAGCAGGCAGCCATCTGCTGTGATCAGTTGGGAGTTTAAGTGCTGAAGACGGGACAAAAGACACGCTGAGTGGAGAGCCAGCGATTAATGTGTGGTGTGTGAGCACATAGTGTATCGTAAAGTAACACAAGTCTGTGTGTGTTCAGCATTTCTAATGTTTAGCTTGAACTACGTGTTTTCTTGACAATAACTGTAATATTGCAAACATCAAGTATTGCTGTCATATGAATAATTACTTGTAAATATACTGTAAGTAACCGTGTCTTTGTACAGTGAAGGTTACAGACTCTCCTTCTACCCCCTACATTAAAATTTTAGGTGTAAATATTTTGCACTAAACACAAAACAGAATCTGTTATGTGGTTGCTGTGAATTCTTTGGACCAAGATAATCTTTTCACTAGAGATGGCAGAGCTTGTTATACCAGTTCTGAGCAAAAGACTACCAAACACGTTTAACAAAGGGCCAGCGACTGAAACAAAATTACAAGGAGCAGCAGTACCAGTTTCCTTACACAAAGACGAGGAAGGCAAGGGTCACGAGTCGCTGCTGTACTTCAGGGAAAAGCACATTACAGAATGTGGTAGAGCACATCAGCACACTCTGAGGAGGAGGGAGGTGGAAAGGAGGAAGAAGGAAGGAGTAAATAGGAGAAGGATATGGTGAAGCAGGTGAGGGTGGAGTTAAGAAAACACAGAAGGCTGAACGAAGAGTAGCAGAGAGCACATTGATCCCCTGAGCCTGACAAATCACCTGAGAACAACAAGACAATGAAGCTCTGAACAGCCCAGCTGAGCCCGGACTCTTCAGCAGGGAAGATGTATGAAAAGTGCCTGACCGCAATAACAGGATTTCACTTTTGATTATTTCTCGTTTGGCTGTTAAGAGTAAACTGCAGGTGGTGAGGTAAGGCTTTGACCCCTATTTTTCTTCTGTCTGTTTGTAACACATGACCTGTCCTTGTGGCAGCATGTAGGAGGAGTGAGCTGATTAATGCACGCTATGTTAACTTTATGAAAGCGGCTGTAGTGTGGTTGGAGCCTTTTAGTGATTTTTATGACATAATGTATTATTTTTAGTCTGGGTGAATGAGCCGGTGCTGTTTTGCCAATCATGTTTGGCCTTTGGGCGTGTAGTGCATCACTGGAACTAATGTGATGAAAAAATGCAGGTAAACAGGTTTGGAGCTCTTGGCTGTGACGTAAAAGCGTGCTCATGAAGATGAGCTTCTATGAATTTAGACATAGATCATTAGGACTGCTTTGTTAGGCTTTTTCTGATATACATCTTTGATTAAAGTAGTCCAAAAGCCTCCGTGACAAAAATAAAGGTGCTAGACTTTAACTCTGACGGGCTGTTGTTGTTGTTTATGACTAGTTTGTAGCAGGAGGGAAATGCTCCGTATACCTCACAGATAGCAATACGACATTTGACGTTTCTGGTCTCAGTTACCTGTTTGCTCAGATGCCTCCTCGTACTGATTACCTGTAAGAGTCACATTACTATTAACAGATTCTGTTGCAGGAACAACAGGCCTGTCAGGCAACACATTCTAATTTGACTACTTCATCCATAACAAAGAAATCAATGGTTTTCCTACTGAGAAAATATCTGGACAACTTTTAAGTGTATGAAAGCACTAAAAACCTCCTCAGTATGAAGTCTGGTTGTGTGAGCTTCTTGCATCTCTTCATCGCTTTTTATTTTCTTTTAAATATGTGACAGGATGTCTTCAGTATCAGCTGCAGACTCTCAGTGCAAAACTGGAGACGCTATCTGTGGTAAGTTTTGTGGCTACTTCTGCTCACTAAACAGGTCTGACCATTTATGGGGCTTGACGAGCCTAACCCTTGTTAGAGAGACGTCTTCTGTCTTCGCCTGAAGATAGAAGATAAACTCTGCACGTCAGCTGAGCAAAAATATTAGCATAGACTGCATAACCACATCTGCCACTTTAAGTACTTTGAATCTAAAGACGGACGTTTCCTTGTGTACATTCCCTGTTTGCAGAGATCCGAGTGTACGAACAGGAGGTGATCGTCGTGCCCGTCTTCCTGTTGGCCAGCTTTCTGATAACTCTGGTCTTCATTTTACTGCTGCGCTTCTGTCCAGAGAAGGTCGATCGTATCCGTCCAAAGTCAAAGGTCACTACCAGGAGGATACTGCATGGCATTGATGGTAAGAACACAAAAAAAGAATGAAGTCGACTCTTGTTGTGATTTGGGGCTGCATAAATAAAATTGAATTGATTGAATGTTTTTTGTGATATTGGTAGTTTAAGTCAAATTTGTGGCCTGTATTTGCTTGTTCATGAAACAACATTATATAAAATTTAATCTAAATGAACAAAAAATAATACAATAATAATATTTTAAGCTTTTGTGTCCTTTTAATTTTGCTCACTTCTGTGAGACGTGCAAATTTTAATTGTTTTTCTGGAACTGTTTAATTTATTTAACTCATACAAGCAAACACGAACATTTAATAAATGGTTTGTAACACATTGTAATGTTGTGTTAGGCAGATGTAACTTCAGGTGAAGGAGTTTACAAATACTGTGCATTAATAAGTACTGAAAAAATCCTTATATAAGCAACTACTACAATTTTATGTGTTCAAAACCACATGCATGTTTCTGCTTCTCAACTTTTTATAAATGTTAAATAACATGACTTGAAATAGTGTCTAGGTTATGGTCTCATTTACTCCCTGTGTTTTCATTCAAACCTATATTCTCTCTGCAGCTCCATCAGGTATCAATGTTCTGGAGCATGAAAGCATTGCTTTGGACATGCCCAATTCCTACTCTACCTTCCAGTCCCCGCACACCTACCTCAATAAAGCATTTTCCAATTCTGTGGAGACACTCCCTCAACATCCCAGCCCACCGCCACAGGAGATTTTCAAGCCCACTTTCACTCTCCCACCGCAGCCCAGAGAGCTGCCCCGCCAGAGGCTCCCGGAGTCCTTCAACCTGGTCACGCCTCTCTCTGGCACCTTCTCCCTGCGCACAGACTCCTCCGTGTCCATCTACAGGGCCCGTATGGAAAACAGGAATGTGGTACTGCGAGTGCTAAATGGTGAGATTTTCACCGAGGTTTGTCTGTGAGTTTTGCAGATCTCATTTGGTTTTCAGTGCAAGATTCAGCATTTTCTTTTTCTCTCGTTGGCAGACTCGGCTAATGCCACAGAAAGGCACAACTTCCTGGGCTTTGCTTCCTTCCTGGCCCAGCTCGGACCACATCCCTTCCTGCCTGAGCTCCTAGGTGTGGTGTCACTGCGAGCTCCCCTGGTTACAGTTGTGGAAGAACTGGAAAACAGAGACCTGCTCAGCTTCTTGTGGAGATGCAGAGAGGTAGGGAGATACATTTTTAATGAGCTTCAAAGATGCAGCGTGTGCTACATTGATTCTCCTTCAAGTATGATAAAATCTAAATGTAAATCTCCAAATCGAGATGTAAAAGAAGAATTATTTAGACGTTTTTGTGACTGCCTTTCCAGGACAATGGGGATCCGCCATGTGAAATGACAGAGAGACGAATATTTACCATGGCAAACCAGGTGGCCAGTGCACTGGTTAGTATACAAATATACTGTATTTTCATTGGCTCTTTTTTAATGCTTGAGGGCAGTCTTTTAATATTTATAGGAACTGCACATGCTCATCTGGTTAATCTCGACTTCGCTGTCATGTTGCCCGATCAGGCGTTCCTTCACAGCAAAGATCTTCTCCATGGAAACATCCGTGCCCGTAGTGTACTGATCAGTAAGATGTTCACAGCCAAGCTTTGGGGCCTGCATGGAGTCTATACACGAAAGAACCAAGGAGCCACGCAGAGGGAGGATTCGAGCATGAAGAAATGGCAGGCACCAGAGGTGCTAGCCAAGAGGCCTGCCAGTGAGAAAAGCGACGTGTGAGTTCTTGTTAGATCTCATTTGAGCCTAATTTTATGTGTCACGTCTATAAAAGATGTCTTGGTGCTGTTTACCTTAATATCCTCTGATAGAGATGTTGCTACATGAAATGTGTAGTCTACAAGCTTGTTATTAAACTCCTGGAAGAAAGACTGTAACATCAGTTGCTTTTGTCTGTCCCTTTTTAGCTGGTCCTTTGGTATCTTATTGTATGAAATGACAACTTTGGGTAAGTTCAATTCTTACTTTTTAGAATATACTCGTAACTTTAAAAATTATTAATGAATACATCTTTCAAGAGTTGAATAATAGAACAATTTGAATTAGCTGTTAGACATGTCTCTGTACTTTTTACTCTGGGTTCCTGTGTGCAGATGGTCTCAGTGTTTTAAAAACAATACATTTGTGTGACAGTAATTTTGGATTTTAAAAGGATTTTTGTGCCGGTGTTGATCCTTAAGCTGTAAATTATTTAATTCAATAGAGTTACCTAAGAAAGTCATGCAAACCGTTAGAATTTACTGTATTTTAACATTGCAAAGTAACACTTGTGTACTTATTTCTATGCAGTCACATGAAACTTTGCTCAGTTCAGATTAATTTATCCACTGCTCTTCTAAAGTCTTACCACAGCATTTCAGTCAGATTGAGGTTATTTGAGCAATTCTGTTGTTTTAGCTATCAGCTTGATGGCCTCATATTTGACTCTAGAATACTTTGGTATACAGAGGACTTCACGGTTAACTCAGTGTTTGATTTGACCAAACATCTCCACTTTAGTCTCTTTGCTCCAGAACTCTTGTGGTTTCTTCAAATGCAGCTTTGCAAATCTAAGTCATGCTGCCGTGTTCTTTTCAGAGAGAAGAGGTTCTCTCCTGGCAAGCCTTCCAAACAAGTCGTACTTGTTCAGTCTTTTTCTAATTGTACTGTCATTAACTTCACAAGCTTCTCTGAGCATTGCACAGTCCGGCCTCACTGACTCCTGGCAGCTGTCTTGAATGTTTTCCATGTGAATCACGGACTTCAAATTGTTTGAAAATAGCCTTTCAATTCCTCCAAGATTGATGGACCGCACCAGTTTCTTCTTTTAGATCATTACTGGTATCTTTTCCCAGACTGCTACTTACCATCTTAATTCCTATGGAAAGAGTAAGGGTGGACTTGGTTTTTTTCACAGGATTGCATCAAAGAGTTTTCACATTTATACGCTATAATGTATCTACTAATTTCTCTTGCGTTTGTCCAGGTGAAGCTCCGTTTGCAGAGATCCCGGCTAATGAGCTTCTGCAGTTTCATCAGCGAGGAAAAAATCTTAAAAAACCATCAAACTGCTCCAACGCACTGTGAGTGTCCACTGCAATACTCCAGAAACGCCAAACATGAAGCGCTACACTTCCTCTCGTTAATCACCGCAAAAGTCAGATAAATTTCTTCATCTCTTCTTCGCACAGGTACACGATCATTAAAGGTTGCTGCCAGTGGAAGGATCAAGAAAGACCCACTCTGGCAGAAGTGCGCAAGAAGCTGGCTTCAGGAGAGAAGGCGGCCTCTGACAAGGTCATCAAGGCATCTGGGACAGTTAACATTGAGCAATACCTTCAAGAAGCTGGATACGGCGAAGCCAACAGCTACACTGTTTTCTGATTGCAGTTATCCTCAGCAAAAGCACTTTTACGAAACAAAAAAAATGACGTTCAGATGCAATACAATAGCTCAAAACTCTGGGTATGATCACTCTGGGAATTGAAATTGCTCCTTTTTCCTTCTTTCAACAGTTAACTTTGGGAAACATTAGGTTGTTTTTTTTATTTTTTTTTCCAAATTTCATTCATGTGTCTTGCCTTTCCCAATGTCTCTAATGTTCAGTTGGAGAAATAAAACCTCCGACTCGACATTTGGACCCGTAAACCTGACCGACGTACAGCTTCAACCTGAAACCTGTGCTAAATACTGTCCATACATGATGGTTTGCTAATTTTGTTTGAAGATGCCAATGTATGTTCCAATATATATATTTGCCACATTTTTTCATGATTTCGTATCAGACACAAGTGTGGAAATGAAGGACCCATCAATGTAATTTTGCCATTATTTCCATTGTAAATTATGTTTACTGATCAAGTTCAGTTTATGTGAACATGAAAATCTGTTTACATGAACTCAAATGTGAATAAAATAAAGATGACCTTATTTTTCATGCGGCTTTCATTAAGTGGAGGAGATAAAAACAAAAACACACAAAGCTCCAGTAACAGGTACTTTTTATTGGTAGTACTGCATACACGCACAGAGAGCGCTTCCAGTCGTTGAAAGAGCAAACCATGAGGAAAACCTATTTTCAGGTAGTTAGGTTGATTAAAGCCACTAAAACTACAGTATCCATGAAAAAATAATTTTGTTTGTAGTATAAAATGGAAAAGATACAAAACTAAACTTTCAATAACTGTTTTAATAACCTAATTAAAAAAGCCCAGGCTTTCTGTGTCTTTTCCGTGATATGATTGGAGCCTGGATGGAACATCTATGGCAAACTATAAGCTTAACTACAAAAAGAACGGAAATATCAACGTAATGGACTGTTGCTAATCACGTCGCTAAAGTTAAAGCACCGATTGAAATACAACAAGAAGGCAAGGTTCTTTTTTTTTTTTTTTTTGCACCCAAGTGGTGAACTGTCCTAGCACCGATGTCGCTATGCTGTCTGATTTGCAGTTTCTCCTTCCACGCGTAAAAACGCCTCTACTCACAGTGACAGAAAAAAACAAAAGAAAAACACTACTGACATGTATACTGGACTTCTCACGAACCACTCACACATATGCATTCATGTCTTCTGCACATTCAGTGTCCTGAAAGTAAACTCTCCATCTTCTTGTCTCTACAAGACCGATGGAGCATCTTCATTAATCCCAAAGTTCTCAGTCTTTTTTTTTTTTTTTTTTAAGAGTCCAAGTGTTGATTTCAGTGAGAAGTTGGCTATGAGAACACAATCCTGGAGTCCTTCTGGCAGCATTACTCACGCAGGCTGTTGATGGAGGCACAGATCTTGAGAGCGGGACCCAGCTTGATGTTCATGGTGGAGATGAGATGGTCCTCACGCAAAAGCAGCAGCGCCTGCCCGTCTATTTCCTGAGACTGAAACTGGGCAGCCAGCTCCTCACAACCTGATCGACCAAGAGACTCAGTTAATGCAGGAGACAATAAAGAGAAACAACATGTGACGAGTGAACTGTAATCAGATGGACCACCAACCTTGAAGTGAGGAGATAAACCTGTAGACTTCGTCCACGCTCCACTGGGAAGGAGTCGAAGACAGGAAGCCAGCCCCCTCTAGTGGAAGACTTCCAGGAGCTGAGCTGTCAGACTGAAGAGCGCTGTGCTCGGCTCTTGAGCAGGAGCGGGAAGAACTCGGAGACAGTGAAGGAGAATCGTCTTCTTCGCCATCGCTGGATACTTCATCTGAACGACTGGACTCTGAGTTAAACTGCACCCAAAACAGCAGACATTGAACTACAATCAGCAGCATTTTTATACTATTATTATGTTGCAGGACAAAAAAGAAAAAAGGATTTCCAAAAACAGCTGTGAATGTTAGTTTTCAAACATAATGGCCTTGATTTTTGTTTTGTTTTTAAGACCGTTAACAACAGAAAACACACGAGACATCCTTTAAAACCTACAGGTGTTACCTTGACAGGTAGATGCTTGGTTGATATTTTATTAGAGGTGATATTAGAACTGCTCCTGCGAGTGGAGCCCCTACGCCTAGCAGTGCTCTCTGTGGGTGCTGGATTTGGTGCCAGCCCTGCAGCTGTTCTCCCTCTGCTGGATTTGTAGTGCTGGCTGCAGCTTACATTATACCTGCAAATGAAAAGCAAAGTCAGCACTGAGAGAGACATTCTTGTTTGTTTGCCTCCCCTGAGTAAATTTCCAGTGTTACTATTGTCTAAAAAGGGGGTCAAACTTAGTTTCACATTTAACGAAACGGGTAAAATAAAAATCACATTAAAGATCAGATGTCTTCAGCACACATATCTTGCTTAATCTTCTCAAATAAAGCCAATTAACAGCAAATCGATAAACATATTGTTTAGCCATCTTTCTGTCAAGAAAAATGTTTTCAGATAAGAGTAGGCCACCGTGGCGCCAACTCACAACAGCCCGAGTATAAAAGCTACTGCCTGAATTAAAAAAGAAAAAAGCTTCCTGATGTTAAAGCAGAATATTTTTGTTCTTGCACAGCATTTCTCACAAGCCCGAACATGAAACAGCTTTATCTGTGCCATAGTGGCAAATTGGAAACTGCATTCAAAGCCCCATCAATTTGAGATTTAGCTGAAAAAATATTTCAAAGATGTACATCACTTTCTACTACACTAACTTTCTCAAGCTTTTGTTCTCTGGCTCTGTGGCTCTGCAGCTGTGTAGATTCAAAATTACAATGCTAATTACAGGATTTTTAAAATGGCAGAGACTGTCTCTGACAAAGGGCTACGTGAGCCCTAGATAAAGAAGTACTTCCACCTCCTTTGAATCTGTCTACTTTCATCATTTGCTTTAATCAGTCGTGCCACCCTGTTAGCTAGTGTGCTAGCTTCAAACTTCAGTGTAAGTGGGTAAATTTGCTTATTTTAGCCCTTAGACAAGACCTGCAGATCGCAGCTTCAACTAGACAGGCCAGAACATAGTAAGAAACTTGCTCTCTTTTTAAAGCATTTTTAAAGCAAATAAATGCAAAAATACCCTCCAAATAATTCAAACTCACTGTAAGCAAATGCCCGTCTGTGCAAAATGAGTTTAAAAACATAAACAACTGTGGGATACTGTTTGTCCGTGATTTGGACGGGGGGAACAAATTATGGCAGGATCAGCCTGATATTATTTGTATCCCACTGTAACTTTACTGTATAAAGAGCTAACATCTCCAAAATGTCAGGAGTAGTTAGTTATTATAAGAAGTGTTTGTGAACTTAAAATCAAGAATGTGGGATACTGTTTGTCCGTGATTTGGAGAGCCCAGCGCGTGCTCCCGACGCAGGGAAAACCAATTCTGCAGGGGAGACCTACCTCGGAACTTGTGCAGGTGAAGCCAAAGGGAAAATATGTTTCACCATATTTTCTAGTCTTTGGCTTGGAAGGAAGTTGGTTTGGAAACATATTTGGCGAAGCTTCATCTCCTGCTTTGCGTTTGTGTGGGAGCCCCGTCAAAAACCTCTCCATTATGCTACCAGTGTGCAAGCAGTCTTTTTTTTCTCATATCGTGCCGCCCCCTGCAATGGCTCTGCGCCCCCCCCCCCAGGGGGCGCGCCCCACACTTTGGGAACCTCTGTTCTAACCAAATACTGCAGTCAGTGGCTTAAACTGCAAAGGCTTTAGCTGTTTTCCTAATAAGATATGAATGTCCTTTGAACCTCTGAGCTTTTATGGCTAATTAAGAAGGAACAAAACAACACATAATGTGTATGTAAGCTGAAACAGAAACAAAACTGTACCTTTTGGCGCAAGTATTAGTACAGAACCTCTTTGATCCTCTGAACTGGCTGGCTGGAGCAAGGTTCCCACAGTATTCACACTTCAACACTGAGTAGGGAAAGAAAGACTTTACACTACTGACCATAAACACAGCTTAAAGCTACCATACTTAATGAATAATAAACCACCACTTACATGGAGGTCCATTTTCTGTGCAGCCAACCAGGGCAAAATCTCCGTCTTTGGGAAGCCGAGCAACCTGTCACATCAAGCTAGTAAGACACTTTTTTCTTTCTCATGGTAACCTTAACATTCATTATCTGACTGTGCATGTATTATCACACTTACAGGGAAGGGCTCAGCTCCCTCCTGAATCACAAAGCCCTCAATAACATGAGTGAGAACTTGTGGTTTGACGACAGCCTGGGGAACAGGTGCTCTGTCTTTGTCCCCGTGCCCTACTCTTGACAATGGGAGAGGCAAAGAAAGCGTGGGAGGAGATGAGAAGGCAGCTTCTGAAGGAGGAGCTGGTGAATCATGAAAAAGAAAAAATAATGAGCTTACAGTGAGAATTTTGAAGACGTTCTACAAACGTTTTATGCATGAATTGGAGAAGACAAGCTGACGTACCTGAGTCCTTTGTAGGTGCAGGAGATAAAGGAGGAGCCGAGTCTTTCATGGGTGCTGAGTCTGAAGATTCTGTCATCTCATTCAGGCCATCACAGTCATATTTCCTCTTGAGAGAGCCAAGAGGAGCTTTTGTCTAACAGCATGTGGGGGGGAAAAAGCCTTGTTACAATCCCTTGTACAAAGACGTCTCTCCCTACACCTAACCCAAGCAGTAAATCCTTTGATCTTACCATAGTACTGTTGCTGGAGGCCGTGCCAACATTCCCACCAGATGGACTTTCCTGGGCTGTGCTATTTCGTGCCTGTGCCAGGGCCACAGCTTGCATATTTCCTGCTACGCCCTGCCTGGCTCCCACAAGCTGGACAGGGATGTGAGGAGGGTTGTGACCTGCAGCAGTGGACTGATTATTGCTAGGTGGAGCTGGGAGAATGGGCGGTGGGTGTCGAGGGGGCAGCTGCAACGGTAAACGGTGTCCCTGAACTGTCTTGGGCTGTATTGGAACAGGACCTTTGTCTACATTAGTGCTAGACTGTTGCAGGGGTTGCACCACCAGAGTTTGAGTGTTAACATTTGCTTTTGGTGCCACTGAGCCAATAGGGTAGCCCTGGGTGGAGGTAGGAACATTTGACGTGGGTACTAGGATCACCGGTGCAGCAGAGGGGGTCAGGAGGAGTTGGGAGAGAGGGAGTCCTGGAGAGGAAGTGGATGAAGAAGCTACAGAAGAAGCAGGAGTTACAGTCATGGCAGCCTGATTTCCAGTCTTTACAGTCAGTGGATTTGTGGCAGACTGTTGTGTAAAGCTGCTCTTGGCAATTTGTTGTTGCTGTTGTGGTTGCACTTGTTGCTGCTGAACTGTCTGTGGGAAACTCTGTTGCTGTTGCTGCTGCTGACCAAGAGAAAAGCCAGAAGCATCTTTCCTTTCTGGAAGCTCAGATTTAACAGCAACTGCTTTGGTTGTGGAAGCACAGTGTAAGGCAAGGTTCTGCACCTGAGAGATGAAGAAAGGAGCAGGGTGTGATCAAATTTAAATAGTTCTTCCTTCACAACCATTTCTTCAAGATTACATGGCTAGAGCGTTTGGTAAAAGCACACAAACCTGATCATTGTCAGACTGGGTGCTAGCACCGGTAGAAGCAACTTCGTGCTGTTGCTGCTGCTGCTGGGGCTGAGTTTGAGCAACTGCTGCAACAGTAGCAGTTGCTGGGCCACCAGGCATGAAGATGAGCTGAGAACGGTTGACCTATGTGGGAAACAGCAGAGATGGTCAACCTTTATTTCTCTTAATGACTGCAAGAAAGATTTAATGATTTCCCTGCATTTTCTCTGGATTGTCTGTCAGTGTGAATTTTACACAAAGGTTTCCAACCATTCTTACTATATCATAACAATATGTTACATAAATTAATTCAAAGTATATGCATTTAATAGATTTTGTGGATAATCAGTTTTAACCCACTCTAAGATACATCTGTCCCGGTCCTGCTGAGTTTCCACCCAGCAGCACTGACTGGTTGATAGCAGTTTTGGTTGCAGAGGTGGCCGGACCATGAGGACGAGGACTGGACATAGTCCCTCCCGCAGAGGTGGTGCTTAGATTGACCTGGAAGGCACACACATATTTATATTTTAACTCAAACTTTAAGAGAGCCAAGGCTGAGGTGTTTTGAACATGTACAGAGGATTGATAGTGGATATATTGGACAAAGAATACTGAATATAGAGCTGGTAAGTAAGAAGAATAGAGGAAAATCAGAGAGAAGGCTCATGGATGTAGTGAAGGAGGACATGCAGATTGTTGGTGTTACAAAAGAGGAAGCAAGGGATAAACTGTGATGAACATAAATGATCCGTTGTGGCAACCCCTAAAGGGTGCAGCTGAAAGAAGATTCAAATCTTTCTAATTATCTGTAAGATATAATTAAATAATAATTTACAAAAACTTACAGTGGTGGGCACTTGGGAGATGCTGTTACTTGGAGTATTGGACTGGCGACTAGCAGCAAGTGTGGCCTGTTTTAAAGAGACATGAAAAGGTTTGATTGGGACATGTCTGTTTGTTTTTATTTTAGTCTTTTTCTTGTTGTTGTGCATGTTGTGCATATTCTTGTCATACCTGTTGCACAGCAGCTAAGTTGTGGAACTGAGCACTATTTGCGATCTGCTGCTGCAGCATGAGCTGCTGGAAGTACTGAGCAGCATTAGGCTGTCTTTGCAGAGCTTGCAGAGCCTAAAAAAAACACATACATACTTATTTGGCTAATACCAATTCAAAAGTTTGTTTTTCATTTTTTAATTTAAATGGTACTGTTATTGTGACATGTAAAGCATTCATTTTGTTAACATTTGGACACAATCACTCACCTGTACAGCCTGTCTCTCATACAGAGACATGCGGGCTATCTGTGGTGCATGAGAATTGCCACTTGTCTGAGAATTTCCATTGTTGGTGCCTGTATTTTGGTCTTCACCTGCATCCATGTTTACTGCTCAAAACGAAAAGGCCAATCATCAGAAGTAGCTGTGTCAACAGTTTTAACTATAAACGATCTATATGGTGTATTTGCTATTTCTCACTGTGGGTACAGAGAAAAATAAAGAAAAAAATAATTAATAGACGACAAATGAAATGATTAGTCACTAAATATAAACAAAGGCGGATTATTAAACGTCCTTTGTTGGACTGCACCCTCAAAGTTTCCAATTGATTGTTTATGTTTTTAAAGTGCAGCAGATTATTCGCTCTTGTGGGCATATCACGAGTTTTTACTATCGTGGCAAGCAGGAGCATTGTGGTATTTTCTACAGCAGGCCTGTTGTCAAGATGATAGATGGGTAGGAAAGAAAGACCAACATGGAGGAAAAGTTGAAAATAGCAAAGGAAGCTAGCTATCCAGCGATGGCTAACTACAAAGGATTACACAGGTTTAACGATCTCTCGACACTAGTACAGTATACCATAGTTAAAAAAATGCATTCCCGTGTGCAGCAAAACTCCGAATGCATATATAGAAAAATGAAAGTAGATGAGTCGTTTGTTTGACGCAAACACCTAACTAAAAAACATAAACAGAGGCTAACTAATTAGCAATGCTATCTGTTTTCTGCAGATAGAAAGCAAGCAGCTAGCTGACCATTACTGCTGCTACATGTCAGAGCTTAATGCCTTTCGGTGTCCGTTTGTGTCTACCTCTTCTTGGCTTTCCGTCCTTTTCACAGTTAAATTGAGTTCTTTTTCGGATATTGGTTGTAGCTGCCAACAACGACAGGGATTTCTAGGTTTTTTGCCTCCAACAAAACCCCGCCCCTCACAAAGCAGTTCTTTTCCCCTCCTTCTTCTTCTTTTTTGGATATTCTGGAAGACTGTAAACCATTGTTAACAGACGGACGGAGCCACCTACTGTTTCAGTGTGTAAACTGCATCGAAATCTATTTGTGTACTTTGGCAAACAAACTGGGATTTATGCAATTAGTTTTTATATGTTTTTTAAAAACTTACAGCGAGCTAACCTTTGTAATGAATAGAAGTACTTTTGATAACTACAGTATTCTGCAAAAGACACTCTTCATTTCTTTATATTTTCTAGGAGTCATACACTAACCTTTTAGTGATTCAAGCATAAAAAGACGCCTAGCCTAAATCTTCACAATGTTCCCAGAAACACTGTCAGTACAGTGAAAACATACCTCCCCATAGCCTGGACCTCAATTTTACTGAAGGAGTGCGGGATCATTTTGACAACGGAGCAAAAATTACCCAACACCTAAAGAAGAGTTTTGAATGTCTTCAAGAAGCCTGGAGGACTATTCCTGAAGGCTACTTAAAAATTACAAGAAAGCTGCTAAAAGATGTGTGCTCAAGAATAAACATTGGTCATGTCTGAGCCTCTTTCTCCATGTTAGTTAACAACAGTTTATCACTATAAGCGCTTAATTAACCTAATTTAATACAAGGTTTATGACTATTCTAGTTTATGAATGCATTTGTTTATATAATCCATTATTTCTAATATAACCTAATTTATTCCATCAAATCCTAAAAGATGAGTGCACATAGGTTTATGGAGTTATCACAGCATAAACTAGTTTTATCATTTCTTTTTAATAGAATCAGAAAAAAAAAAAAGATTTGTGACTTGTGTCAACTTTTAGCCAAACATAACATTAATCATATGAAACCTCAGACCAGTGAACTAAGCAAAGAAAATTCAGTGTTAACACAAAAGCGAAAAAGACCAAATATCAGTGCTCACAGTGAATACAAGTAGCATAACTCAATGATAATTAATAGAAAAATAACATTCATGTCCTGTTCAAAAAAAAAAAAAAAGCCTGGTTCAGTCCTTAGCAGCACTGATGTTTAGGTTTATGTAAAAATATTATAAATCCCAAGTTTAAAAGTGTAACATTTTTACAACTAGAGTACTGAAAATGAAGTATCCTCATTGCTGCCATATGTATCTCCTACTGCAGCCTGAACATGAGTCTATAGTAGTAAGGTGGGTACATGTAGCACTGTTTCTGCGCTTTGGGTCAATTTCACCACATCAAGAAGCAGGTCAGCGTTTAAGCACTATAATGTTCATTATTAAACTGTTTTGTGATTATTAAAATGTAAATATTCCTTTATATTTGATTATTTCATGAAAAAGCACAGAAGACAATTTCTGAATAAGTATAAATAGCAGAATTCAGATATAATTGCCTTCAAATTCTCATCACTACAGGCAACATTTAAATGACAAAAGATACATTAAGTGAATTTAATTTTGACTTTTAGTTGGATGCTTTGCTCCTCACCACAAATTTCGTTGGTATTGCGTCAGCACCACTGACCTCTGACAAAAATTAAACCGTGGAGCTCAGATTTCAGTCAAGCAGCCGACCTTCTGACTGGGATCTTAGCGCTGAGCTTCTCTGCAACATGTGAGAAAGGACGACGCCCAGCTAAAAATCAAATTCAGTTCAACTTTGGTTTGTTTGCACTGATTTCTAAATGTGTGGTAAGGCTGTAAGTACAGTCCCTGTACTTAAACATTTACATTCACTTGTTACAAACCTGACTTTTTAACCTAAACAATAACTGTTTAAACTGCACACACATTTATTTGTATGCCTGTGAACATTAAGCAAGCTCAACCCAAATAAACACAGAGGGGTGTACTATGAAGCCAGATTAATGGGTTAGCGAGGTATGTTGGGCTTTCATTCACTCTCTTTTTAGCATCTTAACTACTGTCATACACGTAGCCTGGTCCTGCGCAGCCTTTCGGTTTGTAATTGAACTGAAGAGCCACATTTTCACTGATTCTCTTATTTACAGTAAGCTTTAGCTGCAATACAGATTCTCTGCTGTAGGAATGTCATTTATCCAGAATATAAAACCTGTTGAGACACTTCTAAAACAGCACTGCAGATTCTAACTGGAATATTCAATTTTTCTTTTATAAATGTCTTTATTTTTGGTCCTAATCTGCTAGAATTCCACCTACTGGAACAAAGTTTAGAACTGTTACACCAAGAATTCTGAATGAATAAAAGTAATTTATCTTACAAGTGACGACAAACTGAAGTGATGCTTTCTTTAGGCTGTGGGAGTGTGTTAAAGTTTAAGAGCTGTAATTTGTCACATTAGAAATCAACAGCAGAGGTGAAATAAATATATTATGAAGTAAACTATTTAATTTACTGATAAGTGTGCGTGTAATGATCGTGACTTCACAAGATTAAAGATTTTCGGCAGCATTACTCTCGTTTCCTTTGCAGCTGCAGTGTTGCATGTTATTTATAGATCTGTATCACCTGATTAGACGGAGCTCAAATGATCGATTTTGTAAAGTCAAAGAGTTAAATGACGCATCTAAAACTGCACAGAGCATGAAGCAGAAAGCCTGAGTTAATGAAGAAAACTGATAACCACCATTGTAACCCTTATCTCTTATCGGGGCTTCTAGGCTTTTATCAAGCCAGCTAACACAACCCCACCAATTATATTGAATTTGCTTTTCAGTACACCCCTCTGCTCGTGACAAACCAACAACATCTGAGAAAAAAAATAAAGCATTCGTTTAGCAGAAAAGAACTGTACACAATGTGGCATTTAGCTGACACAAGATAGAAATATGATTCTTCAAATTCTCCCTTTTCTGCCAGATTTTCACAGAAGAGTCTTTATTGTGAAATAGCTTTCTTGAAGGAATCACTCATTTGTCTGACATCAAACAACTGTTTGAAACGTACGGTGTAAAAAGTGTGGACATGATCATCAGCCCTATGAGTAACATGCCCTCCTGTGTGACAGGGAGATGAAAGATTTTTTTGCCCTAGGCACAAGTCTGGAATAAACACAGAATTAGCAAGTACTGACGTAATTCACTCACAACCCCCCCACAAGAAAACAGACTTGTGTCTACAAGCAGCCTGATAAGCTGTAACCGATTAAACTGCATCACACGGTGAAGATTTTAGTCCCAACATACTAAGGTCACATAGGCAGCAACTGGTCATCTCTCTCCTCTGGCTCTTCCTGTAAATTGTCTGTAGCCTCTCCCCTGTAAGCTGGCGATTCCTCTCGCTTGCGCGACCGGCACACAAAGTCACATCCATCCTGTAAGCACAGCGAAGAAAAGAACAAAAACAATTGTCCTTATTTATTTATTTTTATTTCATCAGACTCTGACCTTTCACTGACGGTGTTCATCAATTAGATTTAGCTTACCGCTGCCAGGTTTCCAAACTCCACCCAAAAAGCATAATTGGGGAATTGCTCCACCCCTTTAGCTCCAACGATCACCCGCTGGTAGAGGAAACCTCCAACAAGGTAAACAGCCAGAAGAGAGAAACCACTGAAATGTGAGAGGTTATGATTATTGATCATCTGTAATATCACAAGCTCTCACATTCATTAAATTAACAGATGACTTTACATACATGATGAGAATAATGGAGCCAGTGCTGATAATGGAGCCAGTGCTGAGCTTGGACTCAATTACAGGACACACTGAACTGGTGTCCAACTCAAACAGATAGAAACAGTTTTCCTCCTTTTCCCTCTCCTCCAGACCCACCTCCAGCTTACCCTGGGAGAGAGAGTGAAACACAGGTGTATACAAAGTGTCTTTGTGCAACTTTCTAAACATGCAACATGTGTATAACATGTTTTTATTTCAATAACTCTACTGTTTAATACAAATAGGCTCATTCTGTGTTCCACTGTATTAAACGTCTTCGTCACTCTACTGTAAATATCCTTGCTTGGTTTCAGGTGTCTGGAAAGCCTTGAGCTTCAAGGAAACATTATTCAGAGCGTCCTCATGGATCAAATTTCATTTTCACAGACCTGATGCAACATGCCGCCACGGCTGCAGCTGACTGCTTTTTGTTTCTGTTTTTTTCCTCAAACTCAAATCTGCTCGGCTAGAAGCTTTACACATTTCATTTACCACTTTTACATTCCTGTCGCAAGAGATCATAATGATGGCTTTCCTTTCTTCCTTATTGCAGTGTGCATCGTATTTTTCACCATTTGTGTAGATCAGCATCACCCAGTCACCTGAAAGGACACGTTTGATAAGATTTAGATTTATACTCCTCAGAGTTGGCCTCAGGCTATGATGCAATTATGAATTATTTATCAGTTTCCAATACAGTTAAGATTCACGCACATACCCTTACGGTCATGTCTGAACTAATAAGAGAATGTTTTTCGGATTTTGCATAGTCTTACTTCCTCCAATGGCCTGTGTATGCGTGTATTTGCCAATCACTGTTGTCTTCTGTAATTTCTTGTCCACTTGAATAACCCCAGCATTGGGAGCACCCCCTGCATCCCCACATAACTGGAACACATATGTGTAGCTCTCGTTCGAAGCCTTGTCCTCAGCTGTAAAGCTGTCAAAAAAGAACAAATCCCAGAAAAAAATTAAATAAACATGGCCCATATAGATTCTTCCTTTAACATAAAATTATATTATTAAACACAACAGGGATTCCAAAAACATCTCATCTCCTAACAAGCACTGAATACGCTGGTACACAAGTGACTCATTCCTTACTTCTTTCCTACGAGCGGCTCTAGTCGCTCCAGAACTTTCTGCTGTAATGGACTGTGAGATAACAGTTTGCAGTCTTTGGTGCTCTTCACACTATACACCCCACTCACAGAGAGGACCAGATGAAATGCCATGATCCACATGAGGAACGAGATTCCTCTGCAGCTACTGAACACCTGGAACAGATGTTAGATGATAAAGAAAAAACAATCAAAACGGGCAATTCTCAATTGTGATTGCTTGCTATTTGTTTCATGTTAGTAGGATTACGTTTATTGTGAGACCATACAAACTGTCTAATGCAAGACTGTTTCATACCATTTACATTACAGTAATATAAACGGTGGCATTATTGAAATACTTGCGGTCAACCATACAAAGGCAGTGGAGATGAGCATCAGGGGTAATTTGTAACTGAAGGATAGCAGCAAGATTGAACGGGAAGGCTTACATGATTATAGTGAGATGGTAAAGGAGACAGTGGGTCTAAAATAGCAGGCACACAGGAGGTAGCAGAGCTGAAGATGCTAAGATCTTCAGTCAGAGTGATCAGAAGGGACAGGATTAGAAATGAGTACATCCGAGGGACGGCGGACGTAGAGCGGTCTAGAAAGATAGTTTGAGAGACAAGGTTGTGATGTGCAGAGGAGGGATTTTAGATTCATATGGAGCTGCCAGCCAGGAGAAAAGAGGAAAATCACAGGGTAGATTCATGCATGTCGTGAAGGAGGACATGCATGTGACAGAAGATAAAGGTAGCTTAAGCTGAAAGCAGATGTGCCGTGGTGACCTCTAATGGGAGCAACCAAATAAGAAGCAGAAACAACTGCAGTGTGGTAGCTATCCCTTTAAGAGCTGAAACAGTTATTGGGTAATGTCATAGTCATATGACAGAAAACTAGAAAAAGAAATATATTTAAAAAATTTAAAAACAAATATTTACTCCTTTAATTTGAATATTCATCATCTGTTATATTCAGCTGAATTCCTTTGGGTTTTAAGACTGCTATCTAGAAAAAAATCTAAATATTTAGCAGCACTTTTTTTGATAATCGTCTGACACTTCAAAACACAATGAACCTGTTATGTTAGTTTAATGTGTACATTAAAATGAATATGTGGCAGTTCTCATGCTTTTGACACCTTGTTACAGGTTGCAGGTTTTTGCATTAACACAAAATACCTCAGTTATCAGGTACTTACATTTAATGCATTATTCCACAAACCGTTTGCGGTTTTTAACACCACAGTTCATAAAAATAGGTAAAACAAGGGAATACTCAAAGCTTCAGTGGTTAAACTTTGAATATGAAGCACCTTTCACATGCTTCCTGAACAAAGAGAGGGGAGTAAAGAGACGCCCACTTTCCTATTCATTTAAAATGGGGGGGAAATTTTAATGACATAAAACATAGCACTAAACTAAAAGACAATAACGATATAGGAAATTCAGTTGTGAAAGGCGATGTTTGCAAGTCTTTCCTGAAAAGAAAGTATGCATCCAAAATGTCTGCTTCTATTTGCACGAGGCAATAAGTTTTACTGATGAGAAAACAGTCCGTTTATAATTTCTCTGACAAAGATGCTGCTTTGGCTGGATTGCACACCTACCTTCATGACTCCCGTCACTGCGAATCAGCGGGGAAATCTTCTTTGTGAGAAATCTAACAGTTTATCATACAAGCTGACAGTTTAAACAGTTGCTCTGAGCTTCCTCACGCTAACGTCGCTTCCTGGTTGACTCAATTAGCAACTAGCCGACTCTTTAGATATGCGCATAAAACAAACTTCATCTGCGCGGAGTCTGTTTTACATTATTATTTTTAATCAACGTTTTCCGCCCTTTTAATTCGGCCCTGAAGAGATAACACGCTTTCCCTTCAACTGTGCCCAAGAGGCTAACAGGCTAAAGATAGCGGTGAAGGAGTGCGGAAGTGAAACCAAACAGAGCAACACGCGCATGTGACAGTCCAAATGAAACTCAGCCAATGAAAGGCGGCTGAGGCCACGCACACCCGCGTCAGCTGACAGGGGAGCAAGCGTCACAGAAAGGTTTACTAAGTCACAGCGTCACCATTCATGGTATTTCTATGTCAGGCAAAAAAAATTAATACATACAATAATAAATAAAATAAATACGTAAGTAAATAAACAAGATAAACAAAAAATGAATAATAAATACATAATACATATAAATACAATAAAATAAATGCATAACTAATACATAAAATAAAACTAAAATAAATAAAATAAAGTAAGCAAATGAATAAATGCGCTTGATGGTATAATGTGGAGTTTTGTGTGCGCTGCCAAACAGAATTAAACAACTATTATTCAAACAAATGTATCTAACTAAAACCTGTAAATTTAATTGATCACTGATATAAATAACAAATATTATCTTTATAACTACATAGTGGAAATTCTTGTTTGTTCAAACAATGTCACATGTGACATTGTTTGGAGTTATTTCCATGATTTAGATCCAAAAAACATATTTTGGTAAAGAACTCATAATTAAAGAAAATTACTTATTATTAATAATAATAAGTCATAATACACAATACTGTCTTGTGCTGCATTTACCTGACAATCTAATAAGATGAATTTATATAAATACATGTTTTTCAAATTTGCTAAATGTAGTAAAAATTACATTAAAATCAACATTGCTTTAATTTAAAATGAGCTAAAAAAAATTTGACTAAGTATAAAAAATAATTTCAGTTTCAGTATTTAGTCAGGTGGTGAAGGTTTTCACTGTGACTCAGACTCTACACGATTGCCAGTCAGCTGCCGACAATAAGTATTTTAATTTGTATGGTATTACTTCCCTATCATGATCATTAAAAAGACTAAAACACTGAAATGAATCAAAATTAAGAAAACATTTCCGAACAATAAAAATTAGACTTAAAAGCAAATCTGCTCTAGAAATAAACTGAAATGAGCTGAAACAGAAAGGCAAAATGAAAGAGAAAATAAAACCTATTGAGAGAATTACTGTAAGACTGTAAAATATGTGTGTCACACCTATTTGGACAAGTAGAAGAAAGATTGCTTCACTGGTGCTGATGTATACAAGTGCCAGCTATCTTTTCAAAAATACACATTTCACCTTCTTGATTGGAAAACAAAACTACTTTCTGGGGAGTGAGCATGCATAAATGGAATTAAAACAACTTTGTCTATCTAAAAAGGGTGTTATGGGCTTGGCACATGGTATCATACCTGATGAATATTGCAATGAAGTTGGATGAAAATATCAGTTCCTCGCCTGCAAAATTTTGGTTACTATAGACATCTGCTGCTGGAAATCAGACATCCAAATATTTATAGTTCAAGCAAGCCATCATTCTGTGTTAGCCTGAGCTACATTCCTGAGAATTCATATTCAGAGACAGGAATATGTCAGATATTTACCCCAAAAGTTTTTAAGGACCTAGCTCAAGACATTTATCCCAGATGCCTTGATTCTGATGTTTTAGACATTCTTTCAGCTCTGTTTGAAAAAGAGATCAATAAAAGGATTGAACATCAAGAAAATTCATCAGAAAACTTGTATCTGGTATCTCATTGTTTTAATTACCCAGGGATTGTGACTATAGGTGCACCTCCCAAGAAAAGTAACTACATGTCAGATTAGCACAGTCTACAGATGTTGTCATTGGCCTGTTCGGCACGTTCCTCCTGTCGATTTCCCAGTACTGAACATGGCTGCATTGTAACACTGAACAAACCCAAAAACCTATGCAACAGTGTACTAGAAGTTTGAGGCCACTCTGGTAAAAAAAAACAATCATAAAACCTCACACCACCTGTCAACCTCAGTGGTTGAGCGATGATGATTTGGGTTTATTTTGCAGCCATAGAACCTGAGCACCTTGCAGTCACTGAGTCGACGAGGAACTCCTTTGTATACCAAAGCATTCTTGAGCCAAGTACAAGGGCAGCTGTTCAAAAGCTTAATCTTGGCCAGAACTGCGTCATACAACAGGGCAATGATCCCAGTTCTGAAAAAGAAATGAATCAAGGTGTTGCAATGGTCCAGTCAATAGATCTGTCTGACCTAAATAGAGCTGTGCATAAAGAAATGCCTGCAAACCTCAATGAACCGAAGCACCGTTGTAAAGTTGTGGCAAAATTTCTGTGCAACTAAATGATAGACTCATAAAGTCATACAGAAAAGAATTATTTTAAGTTATTGACACCAAAGGTGCTTCTACAAGCGACTGAATCATGGGGTGTAGTTTCTCACAAGCTGCTTTTGCATTTTGTTAAATAAGGATGGGGGAAATGTCATATGTTGCTGTTAATGTCAAGTTGTATTTAGAGAATTTGAGAACATGCTAACGAATAGGTAATTTTTAATATGTTGTGATAAGTAAAACCTTAGAGCTGAAAGAGAGTGTACTTTCACTTTCACATGTCAGAATGTTTACTTGTGGATGACTGGTAGACCAACAACACAGATTTCCATTTCAAGATGGCATAACTGAGGTTACTGAAATATGATCATTACTCAGTGTTTTGAAAGGCAGATTAACCCCCATACTACTATATATATATGTACACACACACACACACACACACACACACCTTGATCACTGTTTCACTTCCCTCAGTATTTTTAGATTGATCTCTGACTGTGTGTTTGAGAATCTATGGCCCTCAGTGTCTGTTGCATTCTGCTGGATTTCACTAAAAGGTAATAAGCTGCACTCGCTTGAGACCAGTAAGTATGCTATAAGAGCTCTTTCATTCCTGCATGCTCTGATTAGCTCAGCTACATCAGGCTCTTTGACTTCATTTACATTGTACGTACTGTCTTTTTTATACCATTTTCAGAAATATCAGAAAGTTGACTCTGTTCATCTGGATGTAGCATTTTCAGATCAACAGAATCAACTTTCTGGGATTTCCTTGCCTGAATGATTGAGCATTTATCGAGATCCTTTTTTAAAATGTCACTTTTAGCTCATCTGGTTGAAACACTTGTTGAGATGTTCGCGAGGCGGCCCTTCACAGTTGCTACTCTTCCTGCAGTATTGGTAAGATTTTAGTTAACCTTTCACACAATATATCACCTAATGGACTTGCATCTAAATTAAGGTCAAGAGCGTATCAGTTGTTTTATGAATACGTTTCCACTTTCATAAAAATCACTACTTCTCTTAGATTATTGGTCAGATTTTAGTGACAAGAGATTAATGCATCTCGGATATGACTGTTTTTGAGGGTCTTTGAGTTTTCAGTGGATTTTAATCCTCATTAGCTTGTGCAATGCGGCCAATCCCCGACAAGGAATCCTATAATTTGCTTTCTGTACTTCTCACATTATAACAACCTTTGAATAGTGATGGACCATGAGCTGGATGGACTAGTCTTTCCATTCAGGTTTTTTGCTTTAAAGAACTCTGTCTTACTATTTGGTTTGTTCATTCTCTGTTGTATCAGCCACCCTGAACTACTGATAGAAGGCAGGATGAATCCATGCCTTCATGTTGTTTACAGCATGTCGAATGTCACAGTAGAAATTGAGAGTCGTCAGACTAGGAAACATTTCTCCAAGCTTATGTTGTCCCAACGGGAATTTACCCGTTCTTAGCTGACAGGAGTGGCACTCGGTGTGGTCTTCAGCTATTTTAGTCCATCTCTTTATCATTATAAGTGGTTATTTGAGTTACTGTCGTCCCTAGCTGTCTGACCATTCTCCTCTGACACCAATATTTTCACCCAGAGAAGTGTCGCTCTGTGGATTTTTTCTCTTTCTGAGACCATTCTCTGTAAACTCTAAAGATGTTGGTGTGCGAAAATCCCAGTAGACCAGCAGCTTCTGAAATATTCAGACCAGCTTGTCTGGTCCTAACAACCATCCAACATTCAAAGTCATTTAAATCACCCATCTTCCTCATTCTGATGCTCAGTTTGAACTTCAGGTTGTCAGCATTTCTACATGCCTAAATGCAATGAAATCCTGTAGTTCACTGGTGAGACGCTGAGTAGGCATGCCTAATATAATAGGTAGTGCACAAATCTGTTTATAAGATTGGGGAAAGCTGCAATCAGCTGAGACTGAAGAAGTCACTTGGATAAGTGACAAAACGTTTCTCCCACTGAAAATGCTACGTCCAGATGAACAGAATCTACTTTTGGACATAAATCTGACAGTGATAAAATCTTCTCAAACGACAGAGTGCTGAACAAGTCATTTAAACAAGGTGTGGCCATGTATATAAAATCATCTGACAGATTTTAAAGTAAACGGATTTCCTTGTTATAAAGTAAATGGGAAAGGCAAAGTGTAAGAAACACCTTTCAGCTTTAAGTAAAATGCAGTAAAGTTGACTCATGGGGTGTAGTTACTTCTTGGAAGTTGGATCTGTTGCAGTTAGCCAGGTGTGTGTGTGTGTGTGTGTGTAGCAGACAGTATTTTTGTTTTTAAAAAACGTGGTGTTGTGCAAATTCGGTTAGCAAGTGCATAAAATCTGAGCGCAGCTGAAAGTGCAACAAAGTTGTGAAACAGGGCAGTGTGACAGTAATCATGTGGGTTTCTATTTAACAATGCTAATGAGAGTGAGTCACAGCATTTCAGAGCTTTCATGTCAGGCTTTCTCAGTAGTTAATAACCATAGTAAAGTTGTCATTGTTATACAAATCACTCACATATCACCCCTCCCTTAGTTTCCCCCTCTGTGATTGCTTCATCTCTCTCTCTTTTTAAATCATAAGGAACAGTTGGTGTTTCTCCCTCCCTGCCTCCCTGCCTCCCTCTGTACAGCCTCTCCAGGGAACGCAGGCAACTTTTACTAGGCCTCTGTTTGCTTTGCTCCAAAGAAGTTAGTATTTTCAAACCTGCTTTCTTCCTCCCCTCCCCCACTCTCCTTCAGCGCCCTTACCTGGCTGTGTGTGTCCGTGTGTGTGTGTAGCGCAGACACACCCGACTACCGCATATCAACCAATCACTGATCCAAGAGAGGCGCTCCAAGGAGGTGTGTTTCCTGTACTTCGTGTGAGACAGGAATGGTGCAGGAGTGCGTAGAGAGTTGTGTATTGTGTGATTTGTTTTGCTTTTTTTTTTTTTTTTCGGGGGGTCCACAGAGGCGATCTCATCGGCGGAACACGGGAGTGAAGGAGTGAAGCCGTGGACGCACTCGGTTCGAGTTTTGCTTGATTTATGAGAGGTCTCCCTGTTCAGCGACTGCGAGGACAAGACTGGGAGAAAAAGGAGGGCAAAGATAAGTGTCAATCTGTTGAGACTTGTTTGGGAATTTGAGCGAGGACGGGAGGTGGGGGAGAGGCAGCAAAGACATTTTAGGCGTAAACATTAACTTCTCACCAGAGGAAAAGCCAGAGGAGATTTAAGCTGAATGTATTTATTCTTTAAAAAAGGAGAGCTTTTTCTTGAGTCAATCTGATAATATGAACGCAAGGAGGGAATTTTCTGTGTTGTGCAATCCCATATTTTTGAGCTGAGCTGAGCTGAGCTGAGCTGGGGAGGAGGAGGAGGAGGAGACCAGATCTTCACCGGATACAACATTCAGGTGAGTTGTTTATTATTATTATTATTATTTTAGATGGATTAAAAACACCACGCTGTAAATTGCTTCTGCTTTGATGACAGATTTAGATCTGGTTAAGCTGCGAGATGTGGTTTGCATGCTACATGCCGTGCCTATGTGTCACTGGGCCTTGCTTTCTCGAAGGCTGCTTTTGGTATGCTGTTCTTTGCAGGTCTCTAATGCATTCTTAAATACTGTAAAAGGGTGTCCCTTTCTTCCACTGACTTGCTTCTTGATTTCCTGTTGTTAAAAAAAAGATCTTGTCACTGATTTTTGTTGAAAGTGCAAAACTTGTTAAAAATGCAGACAGAAAACACACAGATTATTGTCCAAGTTATAACATTTTAGAGGCTGTGGCTCTCCAGATGATTGATATGTCACTAATATTCATTCAAATTTTTATTAAGCTTTATACTTTACTTAATTTGGTCAATATCGTAGTCATTTATCTGACATATTGGTTTGAATCTTAATGCAATGCAATTTCGAGACTGACACTGACTGCTCTTTTCTAGGTTCTCCAATAACAATGGTACTATGGGGACCAAAAGGCCCAGTTGGACCCTCTTTGACACTTTAACAAAAACAAGCAGGTCTGACCACAAGCTTCAGCCAGGTGGAAAAATCCCCCTGGATTCAAGTCCCAGACCAGCAATGACTGGTTGGTTTAAGCGAGAGCTAGAACGCACGGCAAAGAAAGGTGACACATTTCCCAGAATGAAAAAAGGTCTTACAAGTCCTGATAGAAGATTGTGCACTGAGATGGATGAAGAAAGAGGGGAAAGGAGGTGGAATGACAGGCCCCCCAAAAAAGCAGAGACTGATGTCTGGGGCCAAGAAAGAGAGAGGACATTCCAGGTTGAGAAGGAAAGATATGAGGGTAGACGCAGAGAAAAGGATGAGGGGAAACCCACTGGAAGAGGATACATAGAAGATGAGAAGTTACGCCAGAGGGGACGATATCAGGAGTTGTCTGATATTAGGTTTCAAGACGGCAGAAGAGAGGTGGATGAATCTTGGGATAGAAGAATGGTAAGAATGGGTTCCCCGCACAGAAGAAAGGAGAGAGAGAACTATGCAGACAGAAAGGAGAATGAGAATGCAAGAAAAAGAGAGAAAAGGAGAGACATCAGGAGTGAAGGTGATGATGATGAGAGAAGGCCGAGGAGGGAAAGAGGGAGGGACAGAGAGAGGGAGGAGCTGATACTTCAATACAGCAGAAGTGAGGGGGACTACATAGGCAAAATGGCAAATGACAGAGATCGAGAAATGCAGCGATATAGAGACAGAAACAGAGACAAAGAAAGAAGGAAAGAAACTGACAGGCAGGACAAGGAAGGTGGGAGAGACTTAAAGGAAGATAGAAGAGACAGAAGAGAGTACGAGCCTGAGAGAGACAGGAAAAAGAGGGGAAAAGAAGCTGGTACTAGAATAGTTGATGCAACAGGCAGGAGCAGTCGATCACCAAAGGAGTGGGCTCCCGGTCCGCCAGCACGAGCTCACAGCAGTGGAGAGTGGAGCAGTGATCCTGACAATGAGAATAGACACAGAATATACAGGGACAGGTATGAAGAACGGGAATCAAGGAGAGACAGCAGTTTTGAAAAGAAAAGAGAGAGAGAAACATGGAGGGATCAAGACAGAACTGCTGATAAAAGTCAAAGGCAAATAAGAAATGAGAGACAAGAGAGCGATAAAGGAGAAAAGACTGGCAATATGCCAGAGCAGAGAAGGATGTGGTTAGAGCCACAGAGGGGCAAGAATAGCACAGACAAATTTGTAGACAGCAACAGGCACACAGAGCGGAAAGAGCTACGGGGAGAAGGAGAGATGAGTATGTACTCCCAGACGGAGAGAGGAAGAGATGGGCGACCAGTAAAAGAGGAACCAGATTGTGAAAGAAGGCAGGGGGGGAGAAGTGAGTACAGGGAAGACGCACAGAGGGAACAGGAGGGAGTCGGTGCAGATCAGGAGACTGTGGGGGAAATCAGGAGAGGGAAGGAACATATGTCTGACAATGATGCAGGGGTTGAGGAAAGCTGGCAAAGGGATGAACAAGGAGACAACGTCGTAGACGACAGAGAGGATGAGAATGGGAGCAATAACTGGCCACCCTCTGAGAGTGAAGGAGGAAGTGAGGCAGGGTGGAAGAAAGAGAGAAATGAAATGCCATCCACACAGGATGGCTTCGTGACCGTGCCAAGTGGAAGAGAGCACAGTGAAGAAGGGTTTAGGGACTGTCAGGAATTCCAGGAAGGTGGAACCCAGGCACCTGCTGGCTTCCAGGGGTTTGTGGGAGATCAGAAGAGGGAGGAAGGACGGACAGTGGGGGAGGTGGAAACAGCTGACGGGGAGGATCAGGGGGAGGAGAAGCAGCCAAAGTACGTCTTCTGTGTGGTTGGGCAAACTCTTCCCCGATCAAAACCCAGCAATATTTTACCATTGCAGGTTGATCAGATTGGAGGAGTGGAAAGAAGCGACACAAATTTAGAAACTCACCATGAGTTGGTTGATGACATCACTCAGCAGCCTCAGAAAGACTTGCTTCAGAGATCATGTAGAAATGATGAGCACCCAATGATAAACAACTGGGACACAGGAAGTGAGCATAAAGTTCAGAGGGAGGAGAGGCTCTCCACAGAAGAAGCAACTGAAAGCAAAATCCACTCCAGAGCGCCTTCAGCGGTTCATAATTTAAAATATAGAAAGGAAATGAGACGTAAAGTGAAACAGTCATATTCTGAAATGGGAAGAAAGGACTCAAAAACTGAGAGACTTCTCCAGGAATGGAGAGAGAAAACTAAAGAGCCAACAGACAAAAAAGAGATGCAAACTCCAATTTCTCAATCAGCGATAGATCAACTGCAGCCCATCTTGGATCAGATAAACACTACAGGAATGAGTCCAGAGGAGGTGGAAGCTATTCGGATCAGACTGAGTGGGACATGGAGCGTGTCTGAGGAGCCCAAGCGGCATTCCCAAGCCCCCCACCTTAAATGGGCTAAAAATGTGGTCCGTGAGATCCTGGGACATTCAGAGGAAGAACCAAGCACAGAGGCCCAGGAAGATCAACCAGCTGCCAACCAGACTGAGACCAGCAATGCCAAGCCACAAGAGGAAGTTGCAGAAGAAACAAGGGAGGTACCTGCGATTAAGCTGAGTATGGAAGAAGATGACTTAGAGCCAGAGCTGGAAGAGCTGTTCGATGCGAGAGGTATGGGACAGAGCCAAGCCCACATGCATGCTGACCAGTTCACGGCTATGCATGTTGTAACGCATACACACACTCATGCTGACACGGCGCTAGAATCAGAAAGGAAGGAAGATTGCAGCATGGACAAAACAACTTTAGAGCCTTCTGGTGAAGTTCAGTTAGGAAAGTCAGACATAAAGGTGACAGTCAGTGAAACTGAAGACGATGAGGTTAATTTGAAAGAAAGCGAAAAAGAAAAACTCAGAGAGAAGGAAGCGGAGATGTATTTAAGTGCGAACAACACCCTTTACAAGCCTAACAGCTGCCCTATTCTTTATCATGACTGCGAGTCTGAGCTCCTGTGCCCCTCTAGTGAGGGTGAGAGCCAGGGGGTGGACTATGGAAGGGATGAAAGTGAAGAAGAAAGACAAGGAAGGGAGCCTGAAGATAGGGTTAATGCAGTGGACGTGATAGTACCAGAACTGACTGAGGTGAATTGCGTAGAGGCAGAAGGGCAAGTAGGGAATCTGGAGAGCTCCTACAGTTCTCAGAAACTGGGTTCCAAAGTGCCGTCTCGAAGAAAGGGAGTCCATAAAACAACTCAAAGAAGAAATGTAGACGTGGAAGAAGATGAAGGTGTTGGAAGGGATCGCAGAACCAGAGTATTTTATGCAACAGGTAAAGAAAGAAGGTTGAGGATGGAAACATTGTGGCTGTCTTCTCAGTTCAGTCCTAATGTTTCCAGGAAAGCTGCATAGTTACCTCACCTCCCTCCTTTTTACTCATTTTTTTTTTTAAACAAAAAAAACGTCTTTCCTCTTTCAAATCAAATGGCAACGCATGAAATTTTAATCATTTAATCAATGACATTTCAAGATAGACTGACCTCAGAGGAAACTAGATTTAAACGTCTCAGGATTTACTCATGCACCAAATGATGCTTCACGGCTGTGTTGGTTTATTTATTTTTTTTAAATGAATTTTACTTAATAGTCATCTTGTCATTTCCACTTACTTGAAGCCTTTACTTTTATTTTTGCTCCTTTTTTTTTTTTTTTTTTTAATAATTTTTTTTAATTTAATTTAATTTATTTTGAATCAGTCACGGGGACCTCAGATCATAGGCAGACTTCAGTGAACATTATCATTACCCCGATCTGAGCACAAAACGCTACCTTCATTGGAAACTGCGTCAGTGTTGAGTATACAGGTAGTGGGAGGAGATAAGAGTAGGTGGAGATGGACAAACTCCTGCCCCGGGAAAACCCAGAGCAGGAGTTAAAAAGTCACAGTTGAGCCACAAGAAAGACACAAGAAATAAGCTTTGGACACACTAATCTCTTCAGTTATTTATCAAGCTTACTAAATTAACCAGCTTATTTATTTAAATCATTGCCTATTTAAATGCAACTATGTTGCTGTACAATGTGTCAACAAATGGATACTTTTATATTGCAGATGATGAGGATGATCGGAGCAAAAGCTTGAGCGAAATGGGGCTGAGGTGAGAATAACTGTCACATATACTGTGTGTGTGTGTGTGTATAGATGCACATATATATGCGCTCTTTTTTTTTTTTTTTTTTTTTTTTTTTTTTTCTCAACATTTGATGTACCTGTTATTAAGAACAGTCTTGTCTTGACTTGTCTTAACTGTGTTGTTTGAGTTTGGGAGTGCTTAACAAATTTATTAGGCAGCTTGTGTTTAAAACTAAAAAGGGTATATTGTTATTTATTAGGGCAAATAACAAATTTGAACTGGCACTCTGCAGTTCTCTGAAAATTCAGAATAGCTATCAATTAATTCATATCAATTAAGTAATCAAGCATATATAATCATTTTTCTGTTAATGAATGTAATTAAATTACTAATTTGGCATCTCAAAGAATAATAATATGCTTTACTGTGCTGTTTTTTTTTTCCTGCTTTTGTGTAAAACAGTAAATTTGAACATTGGTGGAAAGCCACAATAATTCGTTTTAGTATTAAAAATATAATTTTGATTAAAAGGTTTGGATATTACAGAAGCATTAAAAAAGGATTTGGGCAAATGCTGTTAGGGCGGCTGTGGTGGTCTAATAAATTTGTTAAGTACTGTACATATTTCAGTGAAAGGTCACTCGTAATGTAAATTAATAAAAGAGAAATGGCTATAATTTACTCATTAATGCAAATAGGTCATGTCACATTTCTTATATTTAATTTCCTTCCTGTCGCTGTAGGAATCTTTTGGGCACAATCGAAAGACAGAAAAGTAATTCAAGGTTCTACAGTGAGTATCTCTGCTCTACCTGTCTGTTTTGCTTCTTTACCTTTTTAAAGTAGCCCATTATATATACTTTACATACAAGCCGAGCACATCAACTCAGTTCTTACGATGATTCATTGGAAGAAGGCAACAATATGTCGATAACAAAGTGACAGGTTGTACTCTGCTCTAATTACAGTCGGGAAAAGTGTGATGCAACTTGAGTATTTCCCTCGAATGTGTGTGATTCATTGGCTTATAACTATAAAGGCCATAAACTTCGAGTGCTGTATACTAGTGCCTTGTCACGTTTATAAATGATGACTTAAAAGACCTAAAATGGCAGTGGTCCTTTTGCCTAATGATATTATGAAATGGATATTGGGAGAAATAGGGCAGTAATGTGTCTTTGGCTGCACTGTATATACCGGTGTATTTGAAAGTCACAGGCGTGTTTCTGCAAGCGTTCATATTTTCTAACATGTTGAGAGGAAACACAGCTGCTTCTACAACTTTGCCTCCACACACCTACTTGTTGGAATGCAAAGACAAATGCAAACAGCTCCTTATGGGTAGTGCTGTTCCTGTCTGGCCTGTTTTCCTTTGCTCCTTTTAATTTAAAAAAAAAATGTCTACCTTATTTTTCTCTCGTGCACTCTTTATTTATTCGTCTCTCTTCCTGCCTCTCACCCAGATGCTGCACAACTCTATCAGCAATACAGTGAGGCAGCCCAGAACTCTGAGATCCTACGTCAGGCTCGCTCTGAATTCCTCTCTGTGAGTGAGGACCAAACTTCGTCTCCTCTTCCCTCACCTCCTCCTGCCCGCAGAGCTCTTCCTCCCATTCCCCCACAACCACATGCCCAGTCCTTCTCCCACACAGGCTCTGTCTCTATCCAAAGCTTGCATCTCCCTGAATGCCCCAGGGGTGAACGTAGAGCTTCTTCTCCACGTCTGTCAATCTCACAGTCGTCCTCGCTGTGGCGAGATCTGCCGGGGGTCAGGAACAGTGCTGAGCTAGATGAGCTCACAGAGGACCAGAGGCGGCTACAAGAGGTAACTGACTTAATCCACATATGAAAGGGTCGGCATTTGATTGCATAAAAATCATCACAAATCATGTATTTTCCTTTAGACTTCACTGGAGCAGGAGTATTATGCAAGTAACTTTCCATCAGATGATCAATAGCAGTAATATTATTAGTCATTTTTTCATAGATGGGCTGTCTTAATAGCAGCTGTTTGCATGACAGTTATCTGTGACTTTCCTTACAGACTTCCTCTTAAGCTTCTGAGCTTGATTTAATTGTAAATTTTATATTTATGCGTAAATGTTAAGGATCAGTGTAACAGTCTGTATTTGCATTTCTGGGAAAAAACTGACAAAAATTTTTGCGTAGTGGAAATTCAGACTCCTCCAGATACTTAAATGCCGTTTTTAACATTTCTAGACTTACTCATTGTTTCTTTTGAGTTTTTCTTAAGATTGTAGTGATTCGGCTCCTTTTGCTCAATGTTTCATTCAAGTGCTCAGATTGCATTTTACGTTGTCAGCTTTTTAAAAACTGTTTATAGGAAGTCACGTGACTTACGTGAATCAGCGTTTCATTATCATTGCATCACACTTATGCCCACTCAAATTGTCTAAATTATTCCTTGTAACATTCCACACTAACCCTCCGGGTTTTCTACGTTTTACTGGCAGATGTGCATCTCTTGCGAGAATATTCAGTTGCATAAACATGTGCATTTATCCTTGTAAACTCCCAAAGACTTGTTGTGAAATTGTGCTCCTTGGAAATTTCCCAGCCTCTAGCAGACTGACAGCAGTGTGGTTATTAGTTGCAGTTTTTGGGCAGTTGACACATGCTTAACGTTCGCACTTTTGAATTTGGTTTCAAGGTGAGGTTTGAAGTTATTACCTCAGAAGCTTCCTATTGCCGGAGTTTGGAAATTGTCGTTGACCACTTTGTCAAGTCTAAACAGCTGGGGGCGCAGCTGACCACTCAGGACAAGAACTGGCTCTTCTCAAGGCTGGTTGATGTTCGTGCCATTAGCCACAGGTCAGAACTATAACTCTGCTATACATTTGCATTTACTTGAAATAGTTGTCTTTACATTTAGATACAGCTATGAGACTAAAGCCTGTCATTTACTGCTTTTTATTAGATTTAAGATTAAAGCTGTCTGGATCAAATTCATTATTAAAATATGCATTTACTCAAAAACCTCTTCTTATCAGTTACATGATTGTAGTTACTCATCATAATAAAGGTGTACTAATATATAGTAATAGTTTTGGCATGCATCGATATTCCTGTGCCCAGTTGTGCTTTGCAGGCACAAAGTTTGAAGTCGTTGGTTTAAAAAAAAAAAAAAATGCTGCTTTGTGATTTTTAGTTTTCTGTCAAAACTGGAGGAGCGGGTGGAATCAGATGTCATGCACTTCACCGTCTGCGACATCATTTATCGGCAGTGTCCGCTCTTCAGAAAAGCCTATGTGCCCTACCTCACCAACCAGTCCTATCAGGATGCAACTTATCAGAGACTCATGTAAGCCACTGAATCATGCTGTGTTTCCTCTGTTTGGTTCTAAAATCTTGTATCTATTTATTTTATTTTATTTTTATTTATTCATTTGTGGTGTGTTGGCTCCATCTTTTGGTCCCATTGAAACGAATTTCAAACTTCATTTGTGGTGTGTTGGCTCTCTCTAGTGGTATGCCTAGAGTGGTACGGCCTGTCTACCCTTATTTGGATTACCGTACTGACGGTATGCGCGCCGCTGCTTTCAGGAACCATTGGAATTTTTTAGATTGCGCGAACTATTCATTAGTTAAGGTAATGGAAAGGGTGTATGCTTGGTGGAAAACTCCATATCCCACAATTCATAGTACGCCTCTGCCGAGTCAAACAATGGCGGCCACTACTTTGTTTTTATATTGCTCTTATTACTGTTTCTAGGTCACAAAATAAACTTTTAAGACATTTTCAGGCGAGAATGTTGCTGTGTAAACTTCAAATATCTGCTCGTTTTATCAATACATCCCATATTAGCAACAGTGTTCAGATGTCGTTGGTGCCGCCTGACCGCTAACTCCCTGGCTAGCTACTGCGGCTTGGCTGACAAGCGACAGCCCGGCCTGGATGACAGCAAGGGCGGCTCACTCTCTCGTTTCACCCTTTCGTGATGAGTCTGGGTCACAGCTGGACTTATTTTTTGTTTTTGATTTATTTATTCAGTGAAAGGTGGTGGATCTGCCAGATGTAAACTTCAAATATCTGTTTGTTTTATCAAGACAACCCATATTAGCAAAAGTGCTCTGACGTTTTGCAAAGAGCTAGACAGCTAGCTAGCTAACTAGCCACACACACACACACAAACACACACACACACACACACAAACACCGGTCTTTCTCGTTGACTCTGTGTCATAGATGGACTTATTTTTCGTTTTTATGGGCCGATGATTTATGTATTCATTTTAATAACGATATAACAGTGGAAGGTGGTAAATTGTCCAGATGCTGGTCGATGTGAAAAAATAACTCAGTTTTTTGGTGGTGGCTAACGCGGAGCTCCAGCAGAGACCAGCCGTTTTATGAAACAAAGAACAAGCAGAGACCCGAGGGCCGCCGGTCCGAGTGTCAGGTGAACTTAACTTCAGGTAAGAAGTTATGACCTGGAGTCTATCTGGGTCTGATATAAACCAAGTTTAGGTGTAGTTTAGTTTCGTTGTGCTGACATTTTACAATCAGTTACAATAACTCGCACTGCGTGCTAGCTAGCATGACAGAGTTTCTATACAGCTGTGTGCCTGCTATGTTACTGATGTTGAACTTTATTTTATTCATAAGGTTAGTTAGTAGAGTTGCTAACCATCCCGTACAAACGGAATCATCCCACATTCAGAGAAAATATTATGTGTTTCGTATTGAGCTGAAAAGGAACACAGTTTGGCCCGTACTTCAGCTAGAATGGGGGGGGGGAAGACGCAAAGCTGGATTTATTCTGTCATTACGCTGCACAGCTGCCTCTTGTGCTGTCATTCTATCCCTCTCTCGCCTGTTGTAACTTCAATCATGAAACTGATCAATGATCAGCTGATCGGCTTTTCTCTCGTGTTTGTTTATCGCCCACTTTGCGCCAGAAAGAGGAAACCAGCGGAGGTTGCGCTCAATAGCAGAACGTTTAAGCCGGATCACCGGGTGTTAGAATGTATTGAATATTGATTTCTAGTACCAGCTGATGTTTGTTGGAGCCACAGCTGTAAAGCTGCTGGTCATTATGTCGGTTTGGATATCCTAGTGAGAGGGGAAACATGAAGATGAAACCAGGAGATGTCCTTACTGAATCATCAGAGCTGAACAGGTGATGGAGAAACAGGTTTACCTTTTAGGTGACATGAATGAGTTGAAGGGAAGTTATGAACTGTTTCTGAGAGACAAATAACACCAGAATCCTTTTCTACAGCTGACAGCTGGTAACTGTGCAGGGGCGGATCTGGCAAAGTTTTTGCTAGGGGGGCCAGATAGGGCATTAAAAAGGAAAGGGGGGCACAAAGAAATACTTTTCTTTCTTATTCTCATTTAAAATATCTAGCTTTTAATAAATAATTATCTGAATCTCACAACCAAAGTTTGTATAATAATGCAAAAGATAGGCTGTAGACCATTGTCAATCAATCAGAACGCTGTGTAAAAATAACAAAAAACAGAATAGTGAATGCAAAATTGTGATGTACTTGCAGCCTCGTCCTCTTGTCTCTCTGTATGCTGCGCTGCATATAGGAGAGATCAAAATACAGTTTACTTTGATTTGCGCCTTGACCTGAATTTAAAAAATATTTGGGGAAAAAGCACTATGCTGCAAAAAATGAAAAATAAATATTTGCAAAATATCTGGATAAATATTTATTTTACGTGTTTGTGTGGTCTGCAGTGTCGCTGCAGGGGAGGTGGACCCACCCGAGCAGCATCTGCAATCGCGCCTCTCCGGGTTAAAGTCGGACACAAAGTCCGGCATAGGCACACTTAAAATTTCTTCTGAAATTTTCGCTGTCTAGTTATGGTTAAAATTTCTCTTTTCCTTCCAGGAATGAGAATCCAAGGTTTAAAATGATCGTGGAGAAAATAGAAAAGAGTGCTGTTTGTCAGAGACTTCCTCTTCGCTCCTTCCTTGTGCTTCCCTTCCAAAGGATTACAAGACTTAAGTTGCTGGTCCAGGTGTGTATGAAAGCTCTCTGCAGCAGTTTTAGTTGACGTTTGGTCCTTTTTGCTATTTTGTCACCTGAACACATTCATGCTGTTTCTGTCCAGAATATTGTCAAGAGAACAACACGCGGCACGGCGGAGGCAACGCAGGCCATCAAAGCTCTAAAACAACTGGAGAAGGTACAGCGACACACTTTTTTTAAAATTCACTGAATATTTACAAATAATAGCAAAATTACAGTTACTAAAAATAAGCGGAATATCTCAAGACTACTTGTTGTGAAATCAGTGTTTTATTTGTCGCTCTTCTAGATTATTCAACAAGGTAATGACAGCATCTCTCAAATGAAAAGCATCGAGTCTCTGGTTTCTCTCAGTGCTAAGGTGGACTTTGAGTGCAAGGTGGGTAATTAACGACTGTCCAAAATGTGTCCAGTATGCTTCTCAACAATCAAAACTACCAACTCTCTGGAGTTAATTTTTCCCCATTTAAATAGTTTGGCATTAACAGTTAATATCTGCTTTATCTTCCTTTTTTTTTTCTTTGTGTATTTTTTCTATTGCAGACTCTTCCTTTGATTAGCCAGTCTCGGAGGATGGTTCGAGAAGGTCCTGTCACTCAGCTGATGGATTTCTCTCTTAAGGAGACTGAGAAAAATGCTTACTTGCACCTCTTCAATGACTACTTGCTGCTTTCACTACCAAAGGAGTAAGAACAATCATGCTGTTTTGTGAATGCACAGTAACCCATCGCCAGGCATTAAGCATCTCTCTCATTATCATTTGGTTCATCCTGTTACCCTCATATCTACTGTCTTATGTCGTCACCTCTTCAGTAATCAGTATTTCCTTCCGCTGTCTCATTTCTTCTGTGATTTATTTTTTTTATTTTTTTTTTTTTGCTGTTTGCAGAGGGGGAAGATTTACGGTAATTGATCACTGTCCAGTATCAGAGCTGCGTGTTGAGAACTGTCGTGTCAAACTTCACTCCCTACAGAAGAATCTGTTCCGGTTGTATATGGCACAAAAATCCCTGCTCCTCAGGACTGATGCACCGTAAGAGATTGGATAGTAGCAGTAGTGTCTGCAGTGTTTACCGCATAATAAAAATTTGTATAAGATGCATCTTATTTGTATTTTTCCAGGAGTGATAAGCTTCGTTGGATATCCGCCCTCTCCAGGCCCCATACTGAAGTAGATTTTTCTAGTGCACAAGGTAAAGTTTTCACCTTGGGTTAGATGTTGCAATTTGTTTAGTTCATGGTTAAATGTGAGTGAAACCCTTGAATTCCCTTTATAGCAGTCAATAAACCCGACAGTGTGTTAAAGATTCTTCTCCGGTTTATATCATCAATAACAATATGAATTTGTACATGACAGTAAATTAAACATCCGGCTAAAGCAAAGCATTTGATGTTTACCAAAAATAGGAACAGAAATTGTTTTTAAAATCAGATTTTTCTTTCACAGCAGTGCTGAGATTTGGAGAGTCTAGCATTCAAAACAGAGGCCTTTAGATGCAACATTGTAGACAATCTTGTATGGGCAAGTGACCTCAGTCCTAAAGGGAGAAAAGACTCTTGTCTGTTGTCTGTAATGTGACGTTCCTGCTTCTAATGCATTTTTTCTGGGTGCTCTGCTTTCCTCCCATAATCCAAAAGCACGCTTGTTGGGTTAATTGGTGACTAACTAATGCTGAGGGTGTAACTACCTATTGCCCAATGTCAGCCCATGCATAGTTGGATGGACTACTGCAAAGGAAAACATTAAATTTGGCCCAAAATTTTGATTCATACAACTGTAGCATGATGATTTGTCTAAACACACATCAGTCCATTCAGTACTGGAGACAGCATCCCACAGTCTCCTGCAAATAACCTAAATATGTAAACAGTGGAAAACTTTAAGACAATAGTGTGTTAACTTCAGAGAGATGTTCTGTTTAGGACCTTCCTTTAACTTTTATCCTTTCCATTTTTCCTCTTGCAGATTTCGAACAGATGCAATGTATCCGAGCTTTTTTTGCTCAACAGCCAGATGAGTTGTCCTTAGAAAAAGCTGATGTCATTCTGGTGCACCAGGAAAGCAGTGATAGTAAGATCATCTCATTACTTTCATTGTCATTCCCAACTAGAAATGCCTACAAGTATTTGAAGAAATCACTTATGTTGGATTCTATCCTTTTTTCCAGACTGGGTAGAAGGGACGAAGCTCTCTGATCGGCAACGTGGATGGGTGCCCAAATCCCATCTGGAAACCATAGCCAGCTCCAGAGTCAAGAGTCATAACCTGTCAGATGCTCTCAAACTGACAGCGGCCACAGCCACAGCCTGACCCGAGAGTGGACACTATAAAGGATCAAACTCAGTTATCTGATTCAGGAACTGCTGGATTAAAGATGATGGACATTCAGTGACATTTCTAGAGGACAATGCAGCAGCTCAAAATGCTATAAGATTGCATCTCTGTGTAGCAGTGGCTCTCGTTTGTTTCATGTGTTGAAACAATGTATTCACTTTACTGCATGAAGCAGCAAAGTGAACAGCTGAAGACTGCCAGAAAGGGGGTGTGGGTATTATGGTTTTTATCTGCTATGCACAGTACACTGCAAATATTGTGTGTACATCAGTAGATTTGTGTTTTAAAAAAATATTTTCTTATGGAAATGACTTTTTCCCAAGAAATATTATTTTTGGAATCTGTATTATTTTTTGTTGTTGTAATATACGGTTTTTGAAAAATGGGCCCCTGCGTGCAGGAGAGAAATCATGAGATGTATCATAAGAAATCTGCCAGACAATTCCAAGACGTACAACGAGGTTCATAGGTTACATGGGACACATTTCAGTAAACGCAGACTTATGAAATAAAAACATATTTGAACATTGTGTGTGACTTGACAATGAATTGAGGCTGATTTCAAGCTGAACTTTTAAATTTTAAGCTGAACTACATCAGCAGACGGACACAATGCCAGGATTCTGATTTTTAGGTGGGCCACAGTACTTCAGGTTGGGCCTTGTAATTACATAAGTAAATGGTTTTAACACTACATTCATAAATTATTACAAGCAGGCACACCCGGGTTTACAAATTAAGGAAACAATACTCAATCTATCACTCATGTCTTTGTTGTAGACCAATAATTTTCCTGTTGACTTAAACTCTGAGATCCGTATTGCAATAATTCTGTCACATTCAAATGATTATAGCTGATAGACTGGGTGAGCTACATTGAGCAATATCACAGTGGAGAGGGAGCTCAACATACCACAGATTCATAAATGAATGTCAATAGAAACTGCACGTTCTAAATGTTGTCCTACTTTTAATAGAAAATGTAGTTGCTACATTGAGTGACTTCATCCTTACTCTAACACAAATCCAGTTAACACCTGAATTATGCTTATGTGCTTTACCAGTTACCATACGTTGCAGCCACAAACTGAAAGAATTTTCCTACTGCAAAAAATGTGAAGGCCTGAATAAAAATGCAAGAAAAAAAACATATCAGTTAGTCAGAGGTGATCTGTGATCAAAAGCACAGCTGACATTGAATAAAACACAAAGGAAGTGGTTCTCTTTTTTTCATAGTTAAAAACTTAATATTCTAACATTTTTCACCATGTTCGTGTAAAGTATAATGTAGTGTTTAGACTCAATGTAAGCCTTTGTCAGCTGATTCCAATTTATTATTCCTCTCGAACACAAAACATCAGGGGAAAAAAACAGCTTTTTTGAGGAAAGACACAAACCCAAGTGTGTTTGTGTGACACGTAGAGGTCCACAAATTTGGAGTGAGGGTCAAAGCACTACCAGCAAAGACTACGAACATGTTAATGTCTTCAAACAAACTTTAATGCAACAGTTGCTGCTTAAATATGTTTGATTTTGAAACAAGTCAACTTTGATGAAGTGGCACTGTCTCACAATTCAACTACATAGTCATAAAAATCTAAATTCAGTAAACCTTCTCATGACATATAGGTCACTATTACATTTACAACAACACTGAACAGTCAGAGTTCACATTCTCTGACTTGGTCATTTAAAGCTTGTCTCATGTCGTGTTTTGGAGGATGGTGCTGCAGTGTTCTTGTTGGTTCCCAATAATGGGAGAAAACTCAAGCTAATGCTGCTGTTATTTGTGGGTTAAGACTAGTTTATGGTGCTGCACCTAAACAAAGACAATTTTGGGAATGTGGCCGACAGGGAAGCTATTGAGACACCGTTATGTCCACTAAAGATTCAGTCTTCTCTATAGAGAGGTTAAAGCCAACAGCTCAAGCATAAACAAGAGTATAGCCCAATTTCCAGTTGAACCACATATTTTTTTTAAACTGCAGACAAGTTTCAACAAAAATCTACTCTATCTAGACTTGCCTGTAAACGTTTGCCCTGCACCAGTGCAGGCATAATGGTGGAGCCTTGAATTACTTCACTTTATGTGCTTAAATTGCTGACCAGTTTTAACATGTTAACTGTTGATGATGTTTTGGAGACATAGCAAGTGGCTGCACCTCTCTTTCTCTCCACGACAGGAAATTGTAAACTAAAATTAGGACTCCAATAGGAATACTAGGAATCTGAATATTTGTCCTCCGACAACAAATATTACGCAATTGTGTGTGCTGTGCTCCCAGGAATAGACTCCTAGAGTCCCGCATTAAACAAAGTGATCTCAGCTTAGAATTTAAATTACTGTGACAAATGAAATTCATTAAGCCAACTGACCTATGGAAAAAAAAACCAATAAATTTAAAAAAAATCTAATCTATGTCAGTTAGCAAGGTGTGTGTGTGCACATGTGTGTGCAGGGAACCTGATCAGACTTACATTCTCCTTACTGTAAATCATTACAGAAATATCTGAAATATCTCACAAACAACAGGAGGGTTAGTGTTTAAAAAACAAAATCATGCCCAAGATATGCATTCACAGGAGTATCAGGAGCACCAACGAAGCTTGCTCCCCCCTTACTAAACAAATAAATAACCAGCTAGCACTAAGTAGACATTTTTCGAGGCAGTATCTCAAAATTTCGACATATCTCTCTAGTAAATAAAGTTTTATGGCTTTTGGATAGTTAAAAAAGCAAAAAACAAAAAAGCTTCCTTATTAATGAGCGCTTTTTATCCGTGCAGTCACGTGCCAAATGGGTGTGCTACAAGTGTAGATGAGAACGCATCCAATGAATTCTGCATTTTTAACCTTCAGTTAGCGTCCTTTAGTGCAGGGCTAAACTTTCCACTGCACATTTTATGGTGACGCACCCACAGAGTAAGGAAATCGGCTACTGATTAGATCTTTGCTATTTCCTGAATTACAAAGCTCAACAAAACTCAACAAATCTAACAATTGTCTGAGCTGATAAAAAATGAAGGAAAGTTGCTTATTGTGAACAGAATAATGACTGTATGTGTCAAGCTGTGATGCTCACTTATTAAAATAGGTCATAAGTGATATACAGCTCACAGAGTGAACAGCAGGCAAACTCAATTATCAATCAAGGAATCAATGGTGTCACAGGGTTAACATCCACCTGTGATTGTTGGCACAGAGGCACAGTGGTACGCCCCTGTCATCCTGTCTCACATTATTGTCTGAAGGTGATGTTGACATGGATTTGGCACAAGCTTTTCATGGAATTTGCTTTTTCCTGCAATGTCTTTAATCTCATAAATTTTATGACGTAATTTGTTGCTGTTAGTGGGAAATGATGAATCTGTGTACAGAAATAACTGGAACACAGGAAGTATGTAAACACAAAAGAGGATCCCCAGTTAAACTGGGCCCTATACTACGAAACAAGTTCAAACTATCTAAGATATCTTTCCATTCTCTGATTCACTTCACCTAAATTGGGATAAACAGCCACACATCAGCATGCTAAGTCATCCCAGGGTTTCCCCGGTCCATTCATGGACAAGGAGTGGTTTTGGCAGCATCTGGTCAATCTAAGAGGGACATGTCACGGGTCATATGACTTCACAGGAAAATGTCTTGGTGGTAGGTAGTAGGTGTCATATTTTAGGATTGTATATTAATGCTTATAGAACAATATAGAAAATTGATGTAAAATTGTTTGCTGCTAAAAGAAGAAAATTAAGAAAAAAAATTGGTAGAGGAATGTATATTTTAAAATTGTGCTGATTCTTATTTCATACACTGTTATCACGATTAACCTTTGCATATTTCATCTTTCCTGTTTTCTGTTATCTGACCTGAACATGTGCATGCTGTTTCGGACCAGAATATTATCAAGAAAACAACACGCAGCATTGCAGAGGCAACAATTAAAACTAAAACTTCTTGAGAAGGTAAAGAAAGGGGCTCCTTCAGATTTTTCCAAAGGTGTGGCCATATGGGGGCCACTAAAAGGATTCGGGTGGCACGCTAAAAGCGGAATTACAAGTTTTATTATGCTGTTGTCAAATATAGGTTACTTGAAAAATACGACAAAAAAGAGAGAAAGAAAAGCAAATTGTTCTCCCCCCCGGTCCCCCACTTGGAGGCACCCCTGGGTACAGCAATGCTCTCTTTTCACAAAAAATACCAAGATTAAAGTTAAATAGAAAGTAGTCTGAATATCTTCGACGTCTTGTTGATAAATCTCTTTTTCTTTCATTTTCTTCTCTTCTGAATTACTCGAGTAATGAAATCATCTGCTAAAGTATTGAGTCTCTGGTCTCGTTTAAGGGTGGACTTTGAATGCAGATTAGATGCAAGGGTGGCCCAAATCTCTGCAGAATGCCTCCCACAGAATATCAGAAGCACTGGATCTGCATCACAAGGAAATCTCTCATTACCAGTTGCTTCATCCTGTTAGACAGTTTTGTGTCGTCATCTTTTCAGTCTTATCACGGTTTTCATTCCGTTATCTCATTTATCTTGTATTTTTGCTTTTTGCAGACAGTGGAGATTTACAGCAACTGGTTACTTGTCTGGTATGAGAGCTGCCTACAGATGATGATGTTCCAGTTGAATGACACAAAACTCCTTGCTTTTATGGGCTGATTCACCATAAGAGACTTAGACAAGAGCAGTTGTGTCTGTCACCTTATTATAAAAGCTTGCATAAAATGCAGCTTTCTTTTATTTTCCCAGGAGTGATAAGCTTCTTAAAATATATATGTCGCCCAAGGTAAAGTTTTCACGCTGGGTTAATGTTGAATTGTGTTTACTTTATGGTTAAACGTGAGTAGAGCCATTCATTCCCTTCACAGCAGTCAATAAACATTTAAAATTTCTTTAGTTTGCATTATCAGTAACAATGTATAACTTATGATAGCAATTTACACAACTAGCTAAAGCCAGACATTGAGTTGCGTGAGTTTTAACAAAACAAAAATGTTAACGTTTCAACTTTAATACACTTAAAAAGGCAGAATGTGCCACACGGAAAACATAAATAGAGAAGGCGAGCAGCAGAAAATGTTAACCTCACCTCCCTAGTTGTAATTATGAGAATAATTGCATGGTTTATAAACATGCCTAAACTGAACTGCCTGAAGCTTCATTCTGTGGATTCGTATTGGGAAATGCAACTGTCTAGAGCTATTATAAAAAATTCACAATCCAGCAAACAAAGTTTCCATACCTGATACACTGCATTAAGTAATCGATCTTGCAATCTTAATCTTTATGTGGTGTATTTTTTGTGCATTGTATGTTTTTGAAATTGGGCCCTGCATGCAGGAGAGTGGACTCATATAATGCAAAATCTACAGGACATATCCAAGATGTACATACAGCAGCATAAAACATAACAAAACAATGTACAACACGTATTTGAACATTGTGCACGCTTGGAGTTCTTTCAATCAATGTTGTTTTTTGTAAACAAAAACTTCACCACCGGCGGTAATTTTGCACGTACACAGTAAGAGTTCACTTGCATTAAACTGCTGGCATGCGTCTGCAGGAGCTGTTTCTAGAACAAAATGAACAGTTCAGATAAAGAAAAAAAATCACGCTGTGCACGTAGCCAGACTGTGTGCGACCATGGGTGTGGGGCATGGCTCAAATGCAATCTCACATACAGCCACATATTGGTTATGTCTGCCGTCACTCAAGGAATATGAGGCGGTGACAAATGGTCACGGATCGAGAAATCCACCCAATAGATTCCGTGCTTTCCGCTGTCAATCTACTTGCTCGTCCCCGATTGGCTAAGTTTACAGAGGGCGGGGTTTAAAGTGTTTGTTGTTGTTTTCGTTGAGCAGAATAAGTAGAGCGGTCGACATCTTTGACAGCGATAGCCGTTTCGTGCGCGATCGTGCGTTTTTTATTAGCATTTAAAAAGAATTCTGGTTATTTTTGGGGGGGAAATTTGACAGCCCAGAGCACCACTGGAGTATATCTTTTTTTCTGACCTGTTTTGACTAAAACTTGTTTTAAAGGTATGTGAGCAGTCAGTCTTGATACGTTAGCTGCCGTTACTAGCATTACATAGCATCGTATCGGATTTCTCTCACTGTAATTACGATCGGCCTTTACATGCTAGACTTGGAGGCACTTGGACTTGAATGATTTTAAGGGTTTGGTTGTTTTATGTTTGCTTAACATACGGGAAGCGAGCTTAGTCCGGTGCTGTTGTGAGAAATGACGTGGCCTAACTTCATAATGACCCCAACCTACGTGAACCCACAAACGGGTGTAACCATGATCACAACGGTACATCTGTACAATCTGCACAATCTCTACACTGATAAAAATCAGTCAAGGAAATGTCATACATTATTTTTGTCCATCAGGAGCAACCTGACTGAACCTAAAATGCGTTTTAAGTCTAATTGTCATGGTCGTGCCCTGTTTTAGTAGAGCTAATGAACATGTAAACATTGTTTTGTTTCCTAAAAATAAATCTAATCAAAAAAAAAAATTAGCCCATCATAACTTTGCAGAGCTGACTGTGAGGTCTGCAAAGTTTGACAAAAATAAAAATACATTTCCCGTTCCAAAAACGGCAATGGGTATTGTGCTGTTGACAGATAGATTTAAGGTACAATTTTGTGTTGTTTTTATTTTAATGGAAAACTCTAACCCTGCTTACAAAAATGTGCAATGTACACAATGTCCACAATGTCCACAACTCCTAATACGACCTTTGCAAAACTCTTGACCTAAAGATGGATTGATATTAAACAATGATGCACTCTTCCAGCTGTCATCATCACTTGTTAACTGAATGCACTGGGCACTGAAGTCAGTCCACCAGTGTGCTTTCTCCTTTGTCTACTGCATAAATATAGCTATTGTGAGAAACTTCATGTTTCCCTGTGTATGGTTTCAGATGGGCAGTCAGTACCAGCGCTCAGTACCACTAGAAGTGAGGAGAGCAGAGGGAGAGAGAGTTCGGGCCAAGCATCCCGACAAGATACCGGTGAGTACAACAACAGTGACTTTTTCCCAGTAGACTTGATTAATTTTTATAAATTTATACACGGACAACAAAGTGCCTTAACAAGTTTAGCAATTTACTCTTGAAAATTATGCACAGCTAATTTAAGGTGGACTTTCTATGGTCATTTTAAGCATTTTTTTTTTTTTAAATTCTTGGGCTCTATCTTCGGTCTTCTACTGGACCTCAGTTCATCATCTCTCTAAATCAACTGTTGTAGCTACTCTCCCTTTAAGACAACTTTCATCTGATTGGCTGGCACTTTAAAGTGGCACTTTTGCCTCTCAGGGATTATTTGGACATCTGCTGACCTCAATATTTGGAACTTTGGCCATGTTTAATGTGAGCACCCACCATTGTAACAGTATATATGTGACAGAAAGCAAATAAAAGTGTAATAGATCTACTTCATAGGTTTGTAATAAAAAAAAATGACAACAACATTATTATTCTTTAAGACTCATTTTAATTGGTGGTATGTAGACTGCTGTTTTATATATATATATATATATAAATGATAAATGATTTTTTTCTTGTTTATATTCAGGTACTTGTTCTCTGTGCCTTTGTTTGTTAATGATTGCTTTTTGTTTCGGGGTGTGTTTTTGCAGATCATTGTTGAGAGGTCCCCGAGGTCACGAGCTCCTGAACTGGACAAGAAGAAATACTTAGTACCCTCCGATTTAACAGGTGAAACGACATTACAGATATTTTGAAACCAAAGGAAAAATTAAAAAGTGAATGATTGAAGAGTATTTGTAAGCAGGACGTGTTATATTTTAACAGGGCCTGACAAACTATGCAATGTCAAAGCTGTTTTCAAATTACTTTAAGCCAGTGTCAACTTTGCTCTTCTGGTTTTGGTGATCAGTCAACACAGGACTAAACAGCAAATATCTGCTCTATCCACACAAGCCAACCGTATCTCCTATGATGTACTTTCCAAAGCTTTTGGACCAGACAGGATGTCCCTAATAAGTTAAAAGCTTTTGCGGGCATCTTTTTAAACATATTTAGAGATTTTCAAGTGTCAGTGGAGGAGCAGCACAGCAGGAGGCCATTCACTTTGATTAAAACAAAACTAACCACCTCCCATTACCAGTTTTAATGCATTTTTATGTAAATCAAAAGTGAATAAAAAATACTATTTACATATATATGTAACTGTACATACTCATAATTTCAAACGAAATTCTGCTATTACTGCAACCCTCCCGCAGTACCTTCCCTGTCAAACAGGGGGCACCAGCCACACTTTGGGAATCATAGGTCTGTTTGATAATAACTCGATAAAATTACAGAGAGCTCTCCAGTTCTCCTTTATTGGTCTCTTTAATATATTGGTAGTTCTCTTAACTTTACAGAAGTTTTGTTTTACGGTAACTGGTTGAGTCACAGACTGATCTGTGACTTGTCATGATCAGTTTTTTCCTCCTTTCTCATCTTACATGAAGTGAAACTCCTGTGTCTGCTATACGCTGACCATCCACTCCTTTATCTCCTTCCCCTTTTTTTAGTCGGCCAGTTGTGCTTCCTAATCCGTCAGCGTGTGTCTTTGAGACCAGAGGAGGCGCTCTTCTTCTTTGTCAACAACTCTCTTCCCCCATCCAGCTCCCCTCTTTCTGCAGTATATGAGGTAAACATTTCAGTGCACGCACGCACAGACTCACAACAACAGTTATCCACATTTAGAGATTGCTTTCCTTTTCCAAAACAAAAAAAATGCAAAAAACACTGTGGAATAGTCTTGAGTAGCCCCTCATTTCTTTATATTTTTCTAGGAAAATGGAAAATAGGTGCAGAAATGTATTGAAACAGGCACAAACCCGGAATGTTTTTAATAGATCCAACTAAAGAAATTAAAATTGGTTCTCTGCTAATTTGTCTGGTATGTATAGACACAACACTGGTTCATCCCTTGAGTTCGGTGCCTTTTTAATGCTTGAATAATTTGAAGGTCCATGTTAAGTGGCTTAAAAAGTAGGAAAAAGCTTTAAAAAGTTGCTGCTCTGGGCATAACATACCGGTACTAAATTTGTCTTCACATTCTGAAACTCTTTTGGCAGATCTGCTTAGGCAGCAGTGTTACTTCGCTTTTTCTAATCCTATTAATACGCGCCTAACAGAAAGTAAACAGAAGTAAGGATGAGCTAAGTGATATTTTATCATCCGAAAAGTGATGCCAAAATCAGAATATATAGAAAAGAGAAGTGAACATCTTGATACAGTTGAGGGTTTGATTAGCTCTAAAGGTAACGTGTAAATGAAGACACATTTTTTTCCCATTCTTTTTACACTTCGTCAGAGAAGGAAGTTAGATAAATTGCTGACTTGTTTTATTTCACATCCAAATTAAACTTCTGTTTTTCATTGTTGTTGTGTGTCTCCAAGTTCGCAAACTTTTCATGCTCATTTGTGGATTATTCCCTGCTATTTTAATGTGTTCAGGAGCACCATGAAGAGGACCTGTTTCTCTACATGACCTACAGTAATGAGAGCGTGTACGGTGCATGAGGACGAACGAAAGACTCAAGCAAGCAAGAGAGCAAATGAGAAGAGTGATATGGGCTGAAGAAAGAATTGGGGCTGTTTCGAAATGCTTCACATCCACCTTTTATTCTCTATAATAGTAGCTTTGATAAGTAACTACCGTGCATGGTGGAAGAAAAGCTTTGTATAAAACAATGTGGTGCTGGCATGGTTTTAACTTTCAACAGTATTTTAAGGGGAGAAGGATGGGTAAGTCATGTTGATTTCCTTACTCAGTAAACAAAAACACAGGAAGGTTTGAAAGCACGAATTCTTTGTAAGAAGTGGAACTTATTGCAATTATGTTGAGAGAGCTCTTTTTTTCCTCACTTACCTGTATTTAATGCAAATAGTACTTTTGTTTTTGTAAATTATCATAAACTTTTGTGGAAAAAAAAAAGCCATCCATTGTGTGTGTTCTTTTCTTATTTGTTTGCCACTGAACGGCTAACGTGAAGTACCCCTGAGCAAGGTACCGTCCCTACACACTTGCTCCCCGGCGCCCATTGGCGGCCCACTGCTTCACTGAGTGAATGGGTTAAATGCAGAGAGGAATTTCCCCACGCGGATCAATAAAGTATATTATTATTAAATTCAAATTATTATCATTATATAATATTATTATATATTATAATCAGATAATTTATTATTAATATTAGTATATTATATATAAATATATATATATATTATATATATATATAATATATCATTAATAACAGCAGTCTACATACCACCAGACGCTAATGCTAGCTCAGCCCTTGCACACCTGCATGACATAATCTCCGAACAGCAACGGACGTGATCCAGAGGGAGTACACATTTGCAGGGGATCAACAAGCATGCTTAAGAACTGTGCTGCCTAAATTTGTTCAACATGTGAAATGCCCTACGAGAGGAACAAAACTTTGGACCATGTTTACTCAATTATTAACCAAGCCTACCGATCTGTTCCCCTCCCCCACCTGAGCATGTCTGACCACCTCTCTCTGCTCGTTGTCCTGGCATACACACCACTCAGGAAAAGGACAAAGGGCACCAACCAAACTATCAACACCTTTTTTAGGAAGCTCTGGCTCAGCTGCAGGACTGTTTTGCCTTCACAGAGTGGAGTGTCTTCGAACATGTCGACCTAGAGACTCACACTGCTGCAGTGCTAGGTTACATCAAGCACTGCATGGACACTGTCACCATGTAAAAGCGGGTACGGGTAGACCACAGCCATAAACCCTGGATGACAAGTAAGGTCCAGGCATCATTAAAGGCATGCAACTCTGCATACCAATCTGGGGACCAGGATATGTAGAGCAGAGAAAGAGCAGACCTTAAAAAAGGCATCAGAGCAGCAAAACTTGACTATTCAAATAAACTATTGGATCACTTCTCAGATAACAACTCTAAGAAGATATGGGAGTGCCTGAAACACACCACAAACTACAAAGGCAATGTGGCAAATACAGATAAAATAGACATCTCATTAGCAGAGGAACTTAACCACTTCTTAGCCTGCTTTGAGAGAACTGTAAACACCCCTACCATTCACACCACCCTGCCCATAGCCGCCTTTGAGCACAGCCCACACACATTTACTCCCCAAGAACACCAGGTTTACAATGTGTTCAAAGCAGTTAATCAGAGAAAAGCCGCTGGCCCTGACGGAATACCTGGGAGCGTCTTCAAAGTCTGCGCTGACCAGCTGGCTCCTGTGTTCACCAGACTATTCAGCCTCTCCCTGTTACATGCCACTGTCCCTCACTGCCTGAAATCAGCGACAATAGTACCAGTCCCCAAGTCCACCATCATCAGTGGCCTCAATGACTACAGACCCATCACACTGACACCAGTGGTTGCAAAGTGTTTTGAGAAGCTGGTCCTAAAGCACATAAAGGACTGCCGCCCACTCAGCTTTGGCCCTCGCAGGTCCACAGAGGATGCTGTTTCCACTGCCCTAAACTCTGCTTAGAATCTTGGGACTTCAGTAAGGAAGTCTCTTCATTGATTTCAGCTCGGCTTTCAATACCATCATCCCCAGACATCCTTATAGCCAAGCTGGTAAACTTAGACTCCTCCCCCCGCTACATGTGCATGGTTAAAAAACTTTATCACAATCTGTCATCAGATCGTCCTCCCTGTCACTCAGCACTGGCTCACCATAGGGATGTGTGCTGAGTCCTCTCCCATACACCATCTACACCAGTGACTGCACCCCCCGCAACCCCGCAACATCATGATCAAATTTGCAGATGACACCACCCTGATGAGAATCATCACCAACGTTGACAACACAGACAGAGGTCCAGGGTCTGACAGAATGGTGTGACCACAATAACCTTACCCTAAACACAGGAAAACCACCTGTCCCCTCTCCATAAAAGGTGACTACATGGAGAGGTTGTCCTCCTTCAAGTTCCTCGGTACCCACATTTCTGAGGACCTGTCCTGGACTACAAATACATCAGCCTGAATGAAGAAAGCTCAGCAGCTCCTCCATTTATTGAGGGTTCTGAGATGCAACAGGCTGCAGACTGACCTCCTAGTGTCCTTCTATCGTGCCACAATCGAGAGTGTGCTGGTGCACGCCATCCCTGTGTGGTACGTTGGTTGCACTCAATAAGGAGAGAGGGTCATCCAGACCCTCTCTCCTTATTGGTCATCAAAACGGCAGAGAAGGTGTCCACTCTCCATCCTGGACTCCATTACCAGCTCTAGATGTCTCTCCATTTAATGTAAAATGTCTTTTTTGTGCAATATTTTGGCAGATGTGCAGTTTCCATCCACCCTTTTTTATTATTTGTTATATTCTAGTGTACATAGTGTTCCTATATATATTTTTCTTCTTCTATATTGTCTTTTACTTTTAAACCCTGTGGTCTTGTTACGTAATTCCATTGTGCAAGCAACTGTACAATGACAATAAAAGGTCTAAGTCCAAGTTCAAGTCTAAGTCACTTAGTGTCTGTGCAACTGCATGACAAGTTACATAAGCTCATTGTCAGTTGACTAGGCAGGTCTGAAAAGCTCCAGCAAAATCGAAACTGTGAGAAAACAAGAAGAGGGGAGCCATGGAGATGCAAGAGATCCCCAAAGAGACAGAAAAAGGCAAAGAAGGGGATGAAGGACCGAGCGAACCGATGCTGGAGGTGAAAAAAGAAGGTAAAAAAAAAAAGAAGCTGTTTACATTGTACCAAAGTCTAAATGAAAATTATGTATACAAGTCATGCAAATGTTATGTAAAGTAAGTAAACTGTGCAAAAGATTCAAAACTTGTTTAATAAAAAGAAAATCCTAAAAGTTTTGAGATTTTTAAAAAAGTTTACTTTAGAAAATCCAGATTATTTGAAAGCCGACCACAGTTGGTTCATTTCTCTTGCTAAAATGTGTCCATCTGTATTTTTATCTTTAGAGGAAGCAGAACAAGACCACTACGCCAAACTGCAAATTTCATCTGAGGATGTCTATTCAGAAGCTTTCTCTGCGGCTGGTTCACGAAAACAAATACTGGGTACAGTTTTACACAAAATATTTGTGTCTTCAGCTGGTTGGTTGCCCAGTTTGGGCTCGTTCTTTCTTTTTTCAGTACGTGCTTAAGGTAAAACACAGGATTTAGTATCATTATTATACAGAATAATAATAAATGTGTTTTTTGTCTTTATAATCTACCATCTGGGAGATAAATTAAAGCAGTAAATATTTTGGTTTCTCACAAAAAACGATTCAGCCAAAGAGAAAAGAAAAAAAAAAGCAGAAGTGGGTTTTTTTTGGTAATCTTCAAACCGCATCACCAGTTACAGTAAAATGTGTATAATAGTAACCATTGCAGTGAAATTGCGCATGTTTAAATCTTTGTAGAATTTACTGTAGTCTGTATAATACTATTTTTTAATGTTTTTGTAGGATTATCAAATAAATATAGTACTGAATATTTGATATACGGTATTAAATGTTTCAGTTTGCAGTATTTAGGGCTGTGACCGTCTTTTTTATTTTTAGTGATTTATTGTTGATGTTTTCTTGTTTTACACTAAAACTTACAATGTAGAGGCAGATTTCTTGTCTTTATTAAGACAATGATCTTTGACGTGATACATTATTTGTTGCTTTTCAAAACAAATGAATTTATTGACCATTTTGTCCTAAGTAAATTGTTTCGGCATAAAAAGCTCCCTCAGTTTTTCCCATGCATTTATAATGCTAATGATATGCATCAAGAAAATGTGTTTTTACTAATGTCTGGAGATATTGCAATATATATAAAAAAGAATTTGTGTTAAAAAGTAGAAAAATGAAAATCACTGCGGAGTAACAATGTAAGTTTACCTGAAATATAAGGTACTCTGAAATATTGCTGTCTTATAATTAAAAGCAGTATTAATACAGCTGCCACTGCTAATAAAACTGTTACTTAACATAATCAATAATCTCACCATTAAAGAGTAATATACAGGAAAATAGAACTAGATATATTGGTGGCGCTTCATGATTTCGCAACTTATGGTGTTATTGTCATGCGCTTTCGGTTTAATTCGTCTAAATCACATGGAAATTGTGCAATTTTTAGTATCTAAAAATGCTTTTAAGCAGGCTCAGCAGAACATGGGATTCAGGATTTTCTGTTTTAATGGAGAGAAGAAGGGTGAAAAAAAATGTTTTTAGTGTGTACTTTGGGATACTTTAGAGAAAAACTTATTGTGCCCTCTTCTTGTTTAGTTTTTTAATTGTATAATCATTTATGTTATCATATAATCAATTAATTACCAAAATGTTTTCTTTATTAATGATTTGTTTAGCATTAATTTTCATGTCTCTTATAGAGTAAAATGTGATATAGAATATTTTACTAATAATTACCTTCTATCTACACGTTAGTATCAAAGGTACTGGCTGTATCGTAAAGGGTCGGAACCTCCCTTACTACATTATAAATATATATTATATTACTATATTATATTAAATAAAATAAAATAATAGTTTCTCTTTACTCTTCTCTTTGTAGGTATATACTGGAAACTGTCCAG